GCCCAGCCTTCAGACAGGCGACTCGGAAGCTCCACCTGCCCTCACTTCTTCTGGGCCTTCCTTTTTAAACTGGAACTGGGCTGGAGAGTCCTTGGAACAGCGGTATGTCTGTCCTAAAGTAGGACACACAGCCACCCTCACGCCGCCTGGCAGGTTGCAGAGCAGAGTGATGAAATGAGGCTGTGGAGGAGAGGAGAGGCCCCAGCAGGGCTGCCAGCCAAGGTGGCTGTGTGGAGCCTCCAGGTTCAGTAGCAGTGTACCTCTGAGTTGCAGCAGCTGGAGGAATGTGGCCTTTGAGCACTGCCTGGTGGGCCTCCTGGGGGGGTTTGGTGCACTACAGGGGGGAAATGGGATGTAGGACCATGACTGGGGAACATGGGCAAGAGGATTCCTTGGATGGACGGGCAGTGCTTGAATGGCTTTTGCCTGAAGGTGGCCTCAGTGCAGAGCAGGAAAATGTGTCGGTCTCCAGGGATTTTGCCCCCAAGCTCCTGCAATCCCCCACCACTGGCTAGGCTGGCTGTGGCTGATGGGAACCGTAGGCTCAAAGAACGGGGGTGGTTACAAGCTGCCCAGCTCTGCCAAAACAAGGCAGTTTATTTGATTCTGGAAGAATCGAGGTCAGTTTTGGGGAATCGGAGCCTGTAAAGCAGGTTTTTAGAATTTACCCCCTTGTCTCCAGCTTTTAAATCTTTAGTATTACTTGTTGCAGGGATGAAACGTACGGTCGCTCCTTCTGCTCTGGAAATCTTACTGGGACTCTGAGAGCTCTGCACCATGACCAGTCACTGCAAGCTCTCTCGCTCGCTGGCACAACCACACCCATTATCCTCGACCCTTTCCTCAAAAAACCTCCGCATGAACTTCCTCGCGACCCTTTCGCACAAAGGCCTCGCTCCCCCTCCCGGGAAAGGACGCTGGGGCAGGTGCCTGCGGCCCCCATCTGGACCCTGGGCCAGCCTGGCATGTCTGGAGTCGAGGAAGCCCGCATGGGGAGCCGGCTAATGTCGAGCTGCCACATCTGGACTCCCCAAACGCCTCCAGTGCCTTCACTGCCCACCCGAGGCCCCAGCGGTCGGCGCGCCGAGGAAGGCAGCCTGGTCCGCCGAACCGGAGCTGAATCTCAGCCCGGCGGCCCAAATGCGGCTCAGCGGGGGCCCAGCCGTGGCCCACAGGGACTCCCCCGTGGCCCCTCTGCCCTTTCCCCGGCCACCAGGCGTTTGGCGCCCTCCTGGCATCCCCCCAGGCTTAAAGCCCGCAGGGACTGTCCCTTAAGGCTCAGCTGCCGGCACGGAGAGCTTTACGCTTCGCCACACTGCTATTGAGGCCGCAGCCACCCCTTTGCCTTCCACCCCCGGGACGCGGCCCCGAGAGCTTTCCTGGACGGCACTCGGCTGAGTGAAGTCCAGCACCCAGCACCAGCCCAGGCCCTCCGGCTGAGAACGGCCTGTCCCATCGCTGACCACCTGATCCCTTCCAAAAAAAGAGGAGACACCAGGTAGAAAACCCAGCCTTTTCTGTGCCCTCTGAATTCTGGCTCCCTTCTCGCCTCGCCATCCCAGCTGCGGTTCGGGGTGCAGCAAAAGCAGAAACCTGCCGCTGCATGTTTGGCTTTCTTGGAGGCCCCTCACAGGGTCTCCCGTCAAACAGGTTTGGCCAAGATCTGCTGCTCTTCTGCCTTTTGGCCTCTCCCCGCCCTCTCTCATCCCATCCTGACTGGAATGTTGCACCCTTTCTCTCCCTGGGACCTGCAGGGCAATTCCTGCTTTGCTGAAGCGCATGGCCCACTAAAGATCGGTAAGAGGCTGAAGAAATCCCCCCCCCAGTAAAGAGAACCCCCCTCCAGCCTCCTGCTTTCTGGGACACCAGGCCTGCAGGACTCCAACTGCTCCACCAGCTCCATACCCCACTGGACCCCCAGAAAAAGGGGTCACACAGGATGGGCTCCATCCAAGGGGTGAGTTGCAACCCGCGGCTGGAAAAAAATTGGAATTTCTCTTTTCCCGGTTCCTCCTCCCTCTTCCAGCGATAAATGGCAATGTCACTGAAAAGGACGGAGCGCTTTCCTCTCTCACAACTCGAAAAACATAATAATTGCAAAAGAGCTGCCTTCTGCCCAACCCGCCAGCCACAAGAATGGCATGACTTGAAAAAGCTGCTTCTGGATGCGTGTCTTGGTGCAGTTACCGGACCGCAAGCTTAGAACTTCACAGGGGACTCCGAAGTTGTCCGCTTCCTTCTTGCAACCCTCTCAGACTTTCTAGCTATTTCCCTACTGGACCTTCTGGCTTTTGTTTCTTGCCACAACAAATCTGTTGAGGAAGGAAAGGCAGAAGAGCTCAGGGAGAGCTTTGGCTTTTCAGTTTCAGGGCAGAGCTGGAAATCAAGATGAGCAGAGCAAGGCTGAGCTTGTAAGCGCACAACCCAAGCTCCTTCCAAGAGTGCCTCAGGGCCAAGCTATCAATCCCTTCGTCTGGGGAGCAGCCGAGGTGGGTTGCAGATGGGATCTGTGTATGGCGGGAGTCAGTTGTTCGCTTGCAGCATAAGCAAGCATTAAAGTCGGTTTTTACCTATATTACCGAAGTATTTGGTGGAAGTTACAGAAAACATGATTAAGGACTTGATTTAGCAATCGCTCCCAAAATTGGCTAGTTGCTAGAAAAATGTCAGAACTTCCACACCTAGAGAATAGCTATTTAAGTCCTTGGAGGATGCCTGAATGGATAAATTGACATATGTGATTGCAATGAGTATATTAAATGTCCTGTCTTAAAAAAAAGGCAAGATCTTGTCACTTTCTGGAATGATGGTTTTAAACTCATTAGGGTGCATAATTATGAATTTAGTGTACTAAAAGGTAATAAGAAATAAAAAGTTGCAGCAAAAGGTGGTCTGTCCTGGGCTTTCGGACTCGGCTCCTTGGGAGAAACTGTATGAAGTCCCTTTAGTCCCTCCAGGGGTTTGCGTTATCCTTGTTTGGATCAGGTCCATTCTGCTCCAGGGTTAGCAGAATGGGGGCATCTAAAGGTATTTTGGATGCTCTCCCCTTTTAGGACTCAGCTTTGGAAAATGAAGCGGGAGAGCTGAGCAAGGCAGCCGATGGACTGGAGTAAGTCTGATCTGAGGACGGACGTCCCTTCCCGAGTGCCCCAGCTTCCCCCGAATTCCAGGTCCCATCTGGCCTGGCCTGTCGCTCACATCAAAGGCGCAGCATCTCGGAGTGGAGCTCCACGTTGGGGCTGAGCTGGCGGCGGCCCCCCCCCCCCCCCCCCGAGCCGTCGCTTCGCATGTGGATGATTAAAGGACTGCGAAGCATCGCATCTTTTCCGCCTCCCCCAGCCCTTCCCCTAGCCCCAACTTGGTGCCACTTCCTGTCTGCAACTAATTTGACATCCACAGAACATCTGAGAGAAATTTGCCCCATGCAACTGGAAAGCTTTGCGCGCGCGCGCACACGCACCACACGCACAGACACAGCCGCACAGACGAAAAACACACCCTCCGCGACACACACGGGCCCGGCTGCCGACGCGCTCCTGCCCCCTGCTGGGCAACGGGAGAGAAGCAGTCGGGTACCACTTCCAAAACTAATTGTGCCCCCTTCTCTTTTGAGAGAGATGCATCTGGATACAAGAGGGATGCTAAGGGTTAATCTGCTTGCAGCAAATTGGACACACGTCTAATTAACTAATTCCAGGAAGGGAGCACATTGGCTTCCTATAGGAGAATGGTTTTTAAGGGCTTGAAATTTCTCCATGGATAAGAAGACCTACTTGGTAAGGGGGTTATTTTATTTACCATTGATACTTATTAATTATTTTCATTTGCATTGCCTGGGTGATTCATAACAACTTGTACAATCAATAAAACCCAATCCAGAGGCAATAAAGCAGCACAGAATTAGCTAACATTTAAATCAGAATCCAGTTGGAAAGACTGGATTTTGTCTGTTTTTCCATTAGAAGTGATGCAGGAGGAATCCTATAGAATATAGAAGAGGGTTAACAATTTTAGGGACACACACAGGAAAGGGGCCAATGCTCAGAGAGAGGTGAAAATTAGTCAGGCTGAAGTCATGGCATCAGCTGAGATTTTGGACCACGCATGCAGTGAGTGCTTGTGCAGTTACGACAACGATGCTCAAGAAATGCAGGCCAGGGCCTTGCATCTCTCTTCCACTGGGCCAGGTAGTTCATTGGGTCAGGCAGCTTAAGAAAGCTTTCTGGGCCACGGTTGGAGACAGCAACTCAACGTTGCGGCTCCACAGCGCCTCCCTGAGCGTGGTGGGATGAGGCACTGCAGCTTCTGAGCCCGACCCGGCCCCATATCCAAGGCGCCAAAGCGGCTTGACGGGGCCGTGAAGTTCCCTGGGCGACTGTGGGCCAGTCCCTGACTCACGGCCTAGCCTACCTCGCAGGGCTGTTGTTGCGGGACTCGAACGGAGGGTGGCGGGGGGCTTTGTAAGCTGCCTGGGCTTCCTTGCAGGAAACAGGCCGACACCAATATCATATGCTGCCTGGGTGTCTCAGGCCACACCGTCTGACCTTCAGCTCTGGCCTGCCTGCTCCAGCACCCGCCTGGCTGCTTTGCCATCTTGGATCACGCAGCCTGCCATTGGTTCTCCGGAACCAGGGCTGGCGCTACAACAGAACGGCAGCGTTGGAAGGAGCCGGAGGGCCGTCGGGTCCCAACTCCCTGCTCAGTGCAGGACTCCCAGTTAAACCGCTCCTCCCGGATGGCCGCCCAGAAAGGAAAATCGAGCAAGCGACGCAGCTCTTCTGCAAAAAGCGCGACAGAAACCCTGCAAGCAGGGTGCCTTTGACACCTGGCGAGGACCACCTGCATGAGCACCTGCTGGCAGTTGGCTGACCACCGCTGGAGGCAGAGCACTGGTCCTTGGGACGCTTCAGTCACTGCCGTTCCCAGCATATCCCCCCCCCCCCCGGATGATCCCGGAGAGCCGAGCCGGCAAAGCGGCCCGGCCTCGCGCACTCGCTCACCTGTCCATGAAGTTCAGGGTCAGCTCTGTGGTGGACTCAGCCACGGCTTGGATTTCGGACTCCCCGTGGCAGCTGTACGAGTTGCCGCAGTGGACGTAGACCCCGGCCATTTCGGTCGTGCCCTCGGCAATGGCCTTAGCCAGCCCAAGGGCAGCCAGATCGTTATGTCTCAGGCCGGCTGCAGAGGAAGTGGAGGAAGCGTCGGCTCTGCGTGCCAGCACCACAATGTCGCGGCTCTGCGTTTCAGCCTCGGCACCGTTGGGGTGCTTGGGGACAGAACTGGCGCACGGGCCATGCCTCCGGTGCCCCAGCTCTCTGCACACCGCCAGAATATGTAGTCGGCCTCTTTGTGGGCCCCGTAACCGTGTCCGCTGAGACTCGCTCGGTCCACCATCCGGGCGGTTCTACCGAGCAAACAGGAGGGCGGGAATGGGCAGCTCAATTTTAAATTTTAAAGTTGGCTTTAGAAAACTATTCTAAAGGCCTTTGGGCACTAATGTTTGGCCATGAAATGAGGAGATGTGCCTTTGACTCCAAAATACCTACACAAGGTTATGCCCCAAGGCAAATAAAAACGCATATTTTACAATTTACAAGGTACCTCGGCCATTTTCGCAGTCTATCTTCACCCACACCTTCCAGCGCTTGCCCTGGCGCAACGGTCTCCGTTTCAGCACGGCCAGGGCATCATAGCTGTCCACCAGAACGTGGAAATTTTCCAGTCTCTCCGCCAAGGCAGCGCAATCCTCAACCTTGTCAAAGGGCAGAGGGTAGGCGTACAAGATGTCATCGAAACCTCCGTCGGCAAAGAACCGGGCTTCAGCCAGCGTAGATACCACGATTTTCCGCAGCGTGCCCTCCGTCATGAGCTGCCCACCTTCCCTGGGGGAGAGGAACAGAAAGGAAGTCACCAGGGGTGGAACCCCTTCGCCGTGTGTGGGAGAGGGAGAAACGGTCCCAAAAGGGGAGGCGAGTCATTTGCAAAATGCACAGACTCTGTCCTTTGGCCAGAAATGCAAGGTAGCGGATGGGCAGGGACGGCCTTACTCTTGTCCCCATGATTTTAATTGCCACTTTAATTTTATTTATTTATATTTATTTTTTGATTTATATCCTGCCTTTTTCCTGCAAAGGGCTCAAGGCAGCTTACATCATTCTCCTCCTCCATCTTATCCCCACAACAACAACCCTGTGAGGTAGGCTGGGCTGAGAGTCTGCGACTGGCCCAGAGTCACCCAGCTGGCTCCATGGCCGAGCGGGGACTCGAACCCGGATCCTCTGAATCCCAGTCCCGCGCTCTTAACCACTACGCCACCCTGGCTCTCTAATTATTATTATTTGACTATACTTTTCTATGGTTTTCATTGGTTTGCAACTTTTATTGTCTTCGAAATTGGTTTCTGTTTTTATTTATTCATTTATTTATTAAAACATTTCTATGCCGCCCCATTCGCCGAAGCCTCGGGGCGGCTCACAACAGTAGGTTAAAATACAAGAAATAACAAGATAAAATAAGTCGCCCTGGCCAGATATTTTATTGTGCCCCATGGCTTCTTTCTTTGGATGTGTTTTGTCCTGTGAACACGGCCGCTGGCCGGCCGGCCTGACAGGGCTCCCTCCCGTCCCTGGGAGGGCTGGTTCTCACGCGTTGCTAGAGACTCTTTACCAGGTGACCTCCAAGCTGCCAGGTCCCTGCCCTTCCTCCGCAGAATCAACGGCGTCTACCTGAGCGGATGGTCACCTGAGAGAGCCGCCCCCCCCACGCCCGGTCACAGTGCCCCATCTGCGAGCGAGCGAGTGAGCGATCGGCAGCGGCCCTCGGCAGGCACGTCACGAACGCCGTGGAATCAATCGGCGCCCCGGGGTCCGGACCGATCCCGCCACGCACAGGCGGCCGAGAAAAATGGCAAAAGGGGGTCACATGACGGGGTTTGCAAACGGCTGCCCGGTGCGGAGAAGGCACCAAGGAAGCGCTCTCCCTCTTGCGCAGTACGAGAATCCAAGGCCGCCCCCTGAGGCTGCGGAGCGAGAGCCGGGCTCTCCCCACGGTACACGGGGCAGGGGTGGGATTCACGTCCTAAGTGAACCGGGACTGGAGCGATGCCTGGAATTTGTTATTTGTTTTTCGGCGCCAGGCGAAGACCTTTTTATTTCAGCAGCATTTTAAATGTTAATACTATTGAATTTTATCTGGCCAGGGCGGCTTATTTTATATTGTGTGTGTACACACACACACACACATATATTAAATTATTATTATTATTCTAATGTGTATATTTTAATTTATGTGGTTTTAATTTATTGTTGTAAGCCGCCCCGAGGCTTCGGCGAATGGGGCGGCATAAAAATGTTTTAATAAATAAAAAATAAATAAAATAAGAGAAGGGGGCCCACGACTACGAATCCTCCAGGGCCAGAGGCAGGGTGTCTGTGCCCCAGTGCTGGGGAACATGGGCAAGAGGGGCAGGGCACTGCCTGCGGGATCCTGCGGACGGCTGCTGGGGGCAGAAGGCCGGGTTCGACGGACTGCCATCCGCTCTCATCTTAGGCTTTTCTGCCAAGGCAGGAATAGCTGAACAGGAGCAAAAGGGCCAAGGGGAAAGAGGACGTTCCTGCAGGAACCGAACCCGAGGCCTTACAAGCGTTGACTCCCTCCTGCCCAAGGAAGCGCTGCCGGCCCGGCAGCTAAAATCTCACGGTGGCCCCTGGGAATGTGAGGACGAGGCCCCTCCAGGCCAGCCTCAGAGATATTCCGGAGGGTCAGAAGGTTGTGCGAAAGAGGCAGCCCGAGAGCCACGACTCACAGGGTCTTGTGGGTTTTCATGTGAGGCCGGAGGGCCACGCCCAGGGCCAGGCATCGCTCCCTCATCCGCTGCGCGTTCCCCTCTGCCACGTCAAGATCCACGATGAACGCCGGGCTCGGCAGCTCTTCCACACGTCGGCCTGCCCACATCTGCCAAAAGGGGAAACTCAGAACGGGCCGCACTGCAGAGCCGTCGAGAGGCACTGCCCCCGCCTTCGGAGTGCCAGCGAGGCTCCTCTGAGGGTTTCTCGGCCAGGGGAAGCCGCATGCGTCGGGACTGAGTGCGGGGCCTCCTCCGTGGTGGCTCCCCGCCTCGCAAAACGCCCTCCCACACAACCTTGACTGGCGCCCACGCTACTACTGAATTCTACACCACTTTAAGACTTATGACAGATCCAAAGTTTGAGACTTTTCTGTTTCGTTCCCATTCCTCCGTTATTCTTATCACCTAGCCTGATGAAGAGCCCTGGAGAACACGAAAGCTTGCACAGTTTTATGGAACTTTCATTGGCTCTAAGAAGTTGGTATTGCCTTACTTGTGAGTACTTTTTTTCTGCACACGAAGCACCTTGGCTATCTTTGTTCCGCCTTCCTTGTTTGCCCACTCGCTTTAAACACTTCTATTGAAACCTGGCAATTCTGTTTTGCTGTTTTGACTGGCCCTGGTGGCTTTTTTTTTTTTACTATAATGTTTTCTGATTTATTGTACCACATTTTTGGTCCTCGGTGCCTCCTATGCACTGCCCCAATGTCCTACGATGAAAGAGGGGTTTAAAATGTTTCCAGCAAACAAAGACATAAATAACCCAGGTATTCAGAGCGACTGCACGATTACTTTGCAGGAAAAACACCGTCATTCCATACGGTTCGAGGAAAAGAGACGCAGCAAAGGATCCGTCAGCAACGCCAGAAAGAAGAAATGTCAGCTTCGGGCATGTCTATTTTAGAGTGTGTAAGAAGACACTTCACTTGGCTAAGTTGAGATTAATTTATTTGCACACTCTTAACTCGGAAAAAGAAGCGTACCTCTTGCTGCTGCTGCTTCTGCTCAGTCCCAGCTCTTCCCAGGCCAGGGCAAAATCCACTGGTCGTTGGCAACTGCACCGCGAGTTCACATGACGGGATTTGGCTTCACTCCAGATGCCTGTTGGCACAGCCCTGCTCTGGATTACCCGCGACTGCCAGAGCTCCCGCAATGACGGAACATGCAAAAGGCTTAACTCTTGCATGCAACAGCTGGGCTGCAGAGCATGCGCTGATTTCCGTGCGACTCCGCAGGACACAGACCTTCGGAGAAACCTCGAAGCGGCTGCAGGTTAAAACAGGGCAAACGGTCAAAGGAGCAGAAGGCTGTAACTGGAGGGTTGCAAAGAGCCAGACTTGCTTGTTGAATTAATTTCGTTCTTCACGCCACTCATGTCAAGGGTTCTCGGGGATGCACCGAGTCAAAGCAAAGCCAGGGAGCATTAAAATTCGCAGGCGAGGTAAATAAAACGAAGAAAGAATGGGGAAAGGCACAGGAGAAAAGCCGGGCAGATCGCTTTGGGCAGACAGGCTGAGATGAACGCGTTGCGGTCGTGGAGTCAGAGCTGCAAGCATGCAGAGGCTGCACAGCAGTAAGCAATGACTCCCAAGCCACGCCATGCGGGAGCGGTTAAGGAGCGCTCCGACGCGCACTAGGCAGCGGTTAAAAAGCCTACAACTCCCAGCATGCCCCAGCCAGGCCGTCTTTTCCTCCGTCTACGCATGCACGGGTTGCAAAAAAAAATCAAAAAACAAAAAACCCTTGCAAAGTTTTGCAACCGCAAAAGAAAGACGGTGGAATGCCACAGATCTGGCCGCTTTGACAGTGTGTGTAGGGGACGCATGAATTAAAACAAACGCCGAAAAATATGGGGCGAGAGAAGCGACGGGAATGCAAAATAAGCTTAGGCTGAATAGCTGCAAAACGCAAGCAGCCGGTACTCGGGCAGGATTTGTACCGTTCCGAGCAGGTTGCCAGCTGTCGCACCAGCCCCTGCTGCTGTGCTTCTAGCATACGTCTGGCTCCCAGGACTTGGCAGCAGCTGCAACCCCATAGGCAGGACCCACAGGCTCCTAGTCCTTAGAAGTCCTCCTCTTCCTCCTCCACGAAGCCCCTTCTCTAGGTTTTTCTAGCTTTCAACAGCCCAGCCGGGCAGGAGGGGGTTAACTCTGCCTTGGGCTGAAATGTCGCCCGCCCGCGCAGCCGCTCCGCCGCGTCTGGGGAAAAGAACCGCAGAGCCGCGCTGGGCCGGCGTGCCTGAGAGGCGCGCGCATGCGCCCTTCTCTCTCGGCCAAGTCGGATGGTGCATGCGCGCACAGCTCCGGGAAACTCCGCTCCTGCTTCTCACTCCCCCTGCCGGACGGAGAAGGAAGTGCGCCACAGACGCCGGGGCAGGGCCCCTCTCGCGGTGGCCCCTCTTCCGCCGCCGTTCTTGCCCCGCGAATAAAATCCGCCCCTTGCAAAGCTCTAGTGGAAGGAAGGTGAATGGGGGGCCCCCAGGCATTAAGCGGCTTGCTTATCTCCCCCCCCCCCAAAGGTTAGCATGCTTAAGGCACCTAAGCGAAGAAGCTGCCCCCCCAACCCAAAAGGAATAGCAGCTGCAATCAAGGGGGGGTTCTCATTTCTGGGGGGGGTGCACATTTCTAGTTGCCTGGCGCCATTGCTTTATTCTATCGTGCGTCAGACTTTTATATGTCCCAATATTTTAGCAGTTAATTGGTGTTATCCTTGTTTTTATCGTCTTTGATCGGATGTTGTGTTGTGTCGTGTTGTGTGTCGTTTGTTGTATATGGCTGCTTCGCTTTTTGTAAACCGTCCAGAGACTTTTAGTATTGGGACGGCATCTAAAAACTTAAAAAAAAATAATTATAAATAGTTGGATGGAGACTTAAAATTCAGGATGGCAAGGAAACAGCGAGGGCCGGAGAAAGATGGCACAAGACGCCCATTTCTTTTTATTTAAAGTTTATTTAAAGTCACACGACCGAGATGCCATCAGTCCTGTGCAGCTGAAGGCAGGCAGCTCATTTCAAGTTTAAGGCATACACTTTAAACATAAAAACAAACCAGATTGTGCTTTTTTTCTCTTCCTTTTGGAAAGAGCTGTGGACAGATCCAATCCTTGGCTACATTTCCTGAGAGCAGAAGAGTCTGCTGTGGATTTGTTCTGCCTTTCTGGCCTTCTGGGGGCAACGGCCTGTTTTGAGGAGGGGGCCAGTGCTAACAGCGAAGAGAGAGCCAGGTGCTCCTCAGCTTATCCTGGGCACAAACAGGGAACCCCGCAAGTGATGGGCGCAATTTGGGGCCGCTGCCGTTTAGCCATGGCTAATTCTATTTTGCAAGGAACGCTGGTGCCCTGAACCCAGAATTGCTGGTCTGTCTGCAGCTCCATCCTGGGTCTGGAGACGAAGAAGCTGGACTCTCCGTTCCATCGGGATCTATCCAAATACTGGCTATTTGGAGAGCCACATGGAAGCTTCAGAAAAAAAGTGGGTTTTGTACTCCAATGCCACGTTGACGCAGCAGGGGGAAAGGTCTGAGCACTAGAGAAATGCCACGAATGTCAAATGAGAGTTGTACTTATCGGTACCCCACAATTTTGGTGCCTGCAAAGGGGGTTTCTGCACGCAGAGGGCAGCATGTGGGCATTTCTGGGGCTCGGACGGCGTGTCCTCTCCCGCTTCGGCGCGGAAGTGCCTTGCCTGCAAAGCAAGGACGTGGTCGTCGTGATGGGGCCTTGTGACCGCACGGAGGCTGAACACGGCTCGACCCTCTCCCTCGGCAAGATCTGGGGAGGCGCTGGATGGATCACACAGCCGCCTCCACCAAGCAAAGCCCAAATCCACGGCTTGACTCGGGTATCCACCCCTTTCGCTCTCAAAAACCAGCAGGTGCCCAGCAAGCTCACAAAGTCGCTGCCTGCCCACAACCCTGTTAATTTTTTTTTTTAAAGTAGAAAAGTTTGGATTGACATTATTCCTAAAAGTTACAAAATCTTGTTTTTGTATATTGATCATTATGTACATAGAAAGAGCAACACAGCAGGACAGCTGGAAAATAACCCTTTTCTTTGCAAAATGCAAATATTGCACTTGGTGTTCTTGGAACTTGGTCTCCCCCTGGGAATTATTATTTTTAGGAGGGGTCCCGAAAGGCTCGGAGGCCATTGCTTCAGGAGCTGAGGTGGCCTCTTTGCAAAAGAGGAACGAGAACCGTTAAGTGCCTGTCGTACGAAGGTGAATGTCGCTCTACCTGGAACAAGGAGAGCTGGTGACCCATCTAAGGAAGGAGGAAAAGTTACACAAGAGGATCTTTTCCCTAAAAGCAGCCCTGGCCCAAACCCCGTGCCCCTCACTTCGCCCCTCTTGAGCGCCAAGATTTGCAGAACGTCACTCCACCCAGCTGCCGAGTGCTCACCGCCAGCCGGGACTAGCCCCCCAACACCACCGGCACCCGTCTGGCAACTCCAGAAAGTTCCCGGGCCATCGTTAAGGAGGGGAGAAAGGAGGGAAGGCCCTCCATGTTTCCCCGATCCGTGCAAATCCAGACAACCGGGCCCACGACAGAAGGACAAAGGGTGGATCTGCGTTCCGGGGCTTCCTGTGGGACCCCAGGTCTCCAGGTGGCACCGTTAGATGCTGGAGACAGCAGTGTGAGGGCTGAAGGGAGATGTGCAGCGGCAGAGCTGAACCCGGGCCCCGCTTCCTCCTCGGCCTCCTGGAAGTGCAGCCCCGGTGTGGCCACGAGGCCTAGCATGCCCTCGGGGGCGAATCAGGCTGCGTGGAAGTTGAGCCGCCAAGCTTCCCCTCCTGTTCCAAGCGCGAGTGCCGTTCGTGGGTCGGGGCGATGGAAGGGACCTGAGGTGCTCGTCCTCGGCAAGGCCAAAACGGAAGGCCGCTGGAATATGGGCTGGGGAAGCTCTCTCTCGTCCGACGAGTTTGATGTCCTCCGTCCAAGGGTCGGACGAACACGTGGCTGTGGAAAATGGGCAGCTCCGGGTTCTGGCTTTGAGGGGAGCGATTTGCAACTGGAGGAGCTGCAGGTGTGGAGAAGTCCCATGGTCATTCACCTGCCAGGCAGACTGATGGGGAAGCAGATGCTGGCAAGAGAGACAGCAGACCTTGGGTTTCCTCTTGTACTAGGATTCCACCGGCTGAAGTCTGCCGAGGCAATTTCCCCTGGGATCGTCTGCCCCCGCCCCACGAAAGGCCCAGCGGGCATCCTCCAGGACGGGAAGAGACGCCCCTCCATGGAACTTGGTCCGCCTTGGCCAACCCGGGTTCGTTTCTCACGGTGCGGCTGCAAGGGATGCAGGGATGCAGGGATGCAGCTTCCCCGGAAGCGTCCCGGGACATTCGGGAGAGCTGCCCACTTCCAGCTAAACGGATTCTCGTGCTAGTCAAGCACTCTCCGCTTCAGTTCTCTGCCCCAGCGCCAGCCCGGGAGAAACGGCTCTGAAGCACAGGCGAGGCTGGAAGAAACACCGTAAGGAAGCCGTCTCCGTGTCTGCGGGATGCGGGCCGCAGCGGCAGAATGATTCTTCCTTCGCGATGGGTGCCCAAGGGCTGCACCCCCCCCCCCCCCGGTAGCCAGTGGACAGGTGGGAGCTTCAGCAAAGCCAAGGCTGCTCAGTGCTCTCTTGCTTTGGTTATCAGAAGGTGCTTAAAAGGGAAACACGTTTCGGGGGGATGCCGGCTCTGGGATGCAGCGACTCAGCCGGCCTTCCCGGGGTTGCCGGCTTGCCTCCTGGTCCGGCTCGGCTCCTGGGGGCAAGCAGCAAGTGGCCCTCCTTCCCCACGGCAGCAGCGCCGGAGTCGTTTTGCACGGGCTGCGAGCACCGCAACTGGGCCGAAAGGGAAGGACTGTGACTTCGGGGCCCAGTTCTTGGCCAGGAGGTGCCCTTCCACACGAGGCGCAGGATCTCCCCCCTCGGAGAAAGACCGTGCGGCAGCCGCGGGGCTGGCGGGACAACAAGGCTACGGGTGGCAAGATTTTATTGCTGGTGAGAACACCTTCGTTCAGAGGCACAGTAGAGCCAGACTTGCCGTTTCCCTCCTCCTGCAGTCCGGAGACCCCCTGGGGACTCCCCAGGACTAAGCAAGCCCATTCCAAAAGTAAACCAAGACCGCCGGGGGAAGCGACCCCTTCCTGCGTTTTTCCAAACCGTGCTGGCCCACCACGGGGTTTGCCACCCCGGCGGGCTCCCGCTTGCAGGCGCTGCCGCCTGGCTGAGGGGTGAGTGACCCGCACCCACGTTTCCGACTGGAGAACGGACAGGGGGGAGGCCTGGCATGGAAGCTTTCTCGCAGGGCGGCAGGGTGGCCAGGCCGAAGCGGCAGCCCGCCGTTCTGGTAGTGCAGCACGGGCTCCGCTTAAGGCCACGGAGGATGACCGGGCCGCTGCCCCGAGGCAGGCCTGTCTATTGCGTTTCCCCGCCTTTCAAAGCGGCCGGATGCGGCTCGAGTCCTCTCCGCCCGCCCCGCCACGGCATGCGGGGCCCCCTCTTCTTCCAGTGTGAGACGACTAATACAAACATTTGCCGCTTCAAGCTTTGCAGGAACCGCATCGCAATCGGGAACGGCCGGGCGGATGCCCGAGAGTCCCCTCGCCCCGTTCCGCGCACGCTGCGCTCGGAGACGCCGCCCCTCCGGCTCGCAGAGGAGGCCGCGTGGCGGTTTGCACGTGCGACGCTCCGGGCGATGCGAGGAGGCCATCCAGCAGCCCCAGGCGGCCAGCGGGGCTGGAGACGCTGCACGGAAATGGGCGCGCAAGCCGGGCCGGTCCCCTATTTGGGCTCTGCCGGGTTGTATTCCGTCTCGCCGGAGGACACCTGCGAGATGCGGCGGGTGGAGCGCCAGAGCCGTCGGTGGAACTGCCCCGTCCTCACCTGGAGAGGAGACAAGCCGCCAGGGGGCAATGAGTGGGCGGGAAGCTGCGTGGGTGAAGGGACCGGGGCAGCCGGTCTTTTTTGGGGTTCACGAGGCAAGAAAGCACGCCAGGCCTGCCTGGGACACGGGACCGGGGAGGCCGAGTGCAGATCCCGCTAGGTCTGGACTTGCCCATCAGCCCACACTTTTCGGGGTGTGGAGAAGGCAGTGCCGAGGACGGCTCTTCCGAGAAACCCCACGTTCACCCCACCTGATCAAGGGGAAAGATTTTGGTCCTCCCCCAGCACCACAACCCACCAGCCAACTCTCCACATGCCCGGCCTGGACGAGGGGTCACAGGCCAGGAAAAGGAATGAAGAAATAAAAACAGCAACGGTAAAACAAAAGCACAGTTGGAACAATTATACTTCATGCAGCATTTTCACTCTGGAGGATGACTGCAGCCTTTCCTAATCTACATTCAGGTCATGAGAATCTGGCAGCTTTTCCAGGGATGCTGTGAAGGTGCGTCCCTTGAATTCGTGGAGACCAAAGTGGAAGAACTGTTACCACAAACCAAGTGGGACAGTCCAGTTCACTCTGCAATGCCTGTAAAGGCTGCAACGCAGGAGCAGATGGTCTGGGGTTTCCGCTGCTTCGCCTCGGCGAGGGCCCAAGCCAGGAAAGGGGGCGGCCAGCACTCACCTCGGAAGGTTGCCCCGCTCCCACCACGATCAGCTTCCCGTCCTCCAGGCCCACCAGGATGTGGCTCTTCTCCTTCGTCACGGAGACGCTGTGGATCGGGACCTTCATAGCCAAAGGGGCGACGGCTGCCTGCAGGCTGAAACGACAGCCGGGGCGGCAGTGAGGAGGGCGCTGCGGAGCCAGGCGGGGGCGCGAGAAGGTGCCTGGGTCGCGGCTGTCGTGCTTCCCTGCAAGCAGCCGCTGCGTGTGACGGGGCTGCGATGCCACCGGGGCGCTCCGTAAGGGTGGGAAACTTAATTCTCTAATTAATTTGTTTAAAGCTTTTCTATACCATCCTTCGCTGAAGTCCCGGGATGGGCATACATTGAAATGAAAGCAGGCCACAAATTACATCAGAGGAAACCCCGTCTTGCAACACGTTGGCACTTAAGAAAATCAGGAGAATAAAACTGTTTGGTCTGGCAGCGAAATGAAAAAAGGATCTGTGGCAGGCAAACCGCTCCAGAACCGGGGCGCCACCACAGAGAAGGCCCTTCTCCAGGTCGCCACTCTTCTGACCTTCAAAGGAGAAGCTTGCAGGCATGGGGGGCAGGCCTTTCCCATGGAGGGGGGTGTCGCGTGTGAGCTGCTGTCCCTCCTGGGAGGTTTTGAAGGCTGTAAAACCTCCCGGCAAGGCCTGCTTGGGGTTCCCAGGGCACGCCAGGTGCCATTTATTCCGCTACTCGGGCCGGGGAGCTGCCCCTTCGACAGACGCAGGCTGCGGAAAGGCGGAGTGGTTACCTCTGCAGGTCTCGGATCTGCAAGGAGCACTGGGCAGTCCCCAGGACGACGAAGTCCTCCGTGACGCACAGGGAGCTGACCTGCTCCTCCAGCGGGGCAGAGGCCAGGTGCTTGCCGTTGATGGAGTACCGGTGCAGCGCGAACTTGTCCTTCGGGGGACGAGAGGCGGGGGATTAGCGGGGCAGGCTCGGGAGGGCGCCCTGATCGCCCGAGAGGCCTCAATTTTCGGGCTAAATCTTAGCCCACTCCTCAGTCCCTGGAGGATTTTAAGGCGCCCCGGAGCAGAGGGCTGTGGCAGGCACGCGCCTGCAAAATCTCTCAAGGGGGTGGCATATTTTGGCTTCCGGGGGGACCAGGTCTGGCTTTCCCTGTCCTTGTGACTCACACCTGGCGGAGAAGTGTGCGGCGCCCCCTGCGAAATGTGGGGAGGAGGATGGCTTTGCTCCCGGGCCCCTTTCCTGGGCCCTGGCGCCCGCCTTGCTCGGCCGGTGGGCTTCGCGCCGGCTGCCAGTTTAGCCCACCGGCGGGGGCTGGGCGGGGGGGACGGCCGCAGAGCAAAGCCCCTGGCCCGGCTCACCTTCAGGGAGGCCCTGCCCTCCACGGTGGTCTGGACGACGATCTGGCCCTCGTGCCCCACGGCCAGGTTGGAGATGGTCACCGGCAGGGAGCTCTCGCAGGGGGGCTTGAGCGACCGCATGAACTGGCCCCGGCGGATCGTGTGCACGATGATGGTGCCGTCCTGGGGTCGGGGGAGGACGGGGAGGAGAAAAGAGCTTTCGGCAGGAGGCTCTGCCAGGGCTCAGAGCCAGGGAGGGCAGGAACGGCTCTCCGAGCCCTTTCTGAGATGATGCTGGGGGGGCTTCATGCTCGGTGACCGAGATGGTAAGTCCGGGTCGCCCACCCAGAACTCCTGGGCATCCTGTGCGGGCTTCTCGGCCGCCGCAACAAGCCCCCTGCCCAGGTCCGGGCACCGCAGTACACGGTGCCACGGCTCAGATGCTCGCAAGGGGGTCCGGCGCGCGCCACAAACCCCGTGGCTTGCTCCAGCACCGTGGGGCGTGCTGGCTGCGTGGACCGCCCGGCGCAGGGAGCTGCGGAGGGTCCTTCCCCAGGGGGCGGCAGCAGGGGTCCAGCGAGGGCGCGGCTGGCGCGGAAGACACGCAGCCCTGCTGGGGATCCCGCTGTCAGGTGCGCACGCTCTGGAAGGAGTCCCATGCGCACGGGGAGCGGACCGTTTTGGTGCGTCTGACAGCTCGGAGCTGGTTGCTGAAACGACTGAGGGGGGCTGGAGCCGAGGGGTCCGGTCAAGCCCCAGTGGGAGCAAGGAAGCATGACATCTGGGGGGAACCGAGAGATGGGGAGTCTCTTGGATGCGGGATTCCAGCCTCCGGAGGAGGTGGGCCCCAAAGTCCGTTGTCACAGCCACGGGGGGCCCAGCCGGGGCCTCTTGGAGGAATGCAGGGGCGCCCGGTTCTGCAGCCCCCTCCTCCCAGAGACAGGCCCCGAAGGGTTCATAAGCAAAGCTCTGGGGAAAGGGGGGCAGAGAGGGCCCAACGGTACGCTTTGTGCATGCCCAGAGGCTTCTGTGTAGAATAAAGAGGTGCTGGGGAGCTGAGTCTCTTCCTGCTGGGCGGGGACGCTCGGCTCACGGCACTCACCTTCGACCCCGACACGGCCATGTCCAGCTCCGTGCTGATGGCGACGCAGGTGACCTCGTCGTCGTGCCCGTAGAGCACCTGGACGGGTTTGGGTGCCAGGCCGCACGAGAAGCCGCCCTGGACGGGGAAGAGGCGAGCGTGGCGTGAACGCCGGGCCGTCCGGGCCGGGGAAAGCCGGCTGCGGGACTCGGCGGGGGCCAGGCAGCCCCGACTGTGGTGGCTGCCTGGGGCTTATGGGGACTGTAGTCCAGCACTTGTGGAGGGCGGCAGGTTGGGGGAGAGCGCTGGGTGAAGGGCCCGGTGCCCGGGTTCAGGCCCAGCAAAATGGAATTGTCACAACCCCCGTCAACCTTCCTTTCTTTTCGGGGCCAGATGAAGATCTTCCTTTTTAAAAATCATTTTAATTACTAATTGCTGTAGAACTTTTGTTGTGTCTGTTTTGCTGTATTTCATTGTTGTCTATAATGCCTAGTGTGTGGTGCTTTTTATTATGTTTTGATTGTGCTTCTGTCTTGTGTTGGGAGCCGCCCAGAGGTGCGGTGGCACAACTGTGTGGTATACAAACAGTTTAAACCAACAAATGAATAAATAAGGCCCAGCTGCAAAAGGGCTGGTCGAAAGGACAAAGAGGTTAGTTCTGCCACGGTTGTGTGGCGTGTGCCGGAAACGCAAGGGCGGTCGCCGGGACGGCGATGGACGCATCTCTGAGCCCGAAACGACGGATCTCAGCGGGGAGAAGGCATGCGGCCCCCCACCGCCCCCCAAGCACAGAAGGGAGCGGGCAGGCAGCCCTCCTCTCACCTGCTGGAGGACCTGCCAGACCATGCTGGTGGTGTCTCGTGAGCCGGAGATGAGGTAGATTCCGCACAGATCCAGGGCCAGGCAGGTGACCACATCTGCGGGGAGGGGAGAGAGGGACACCGAAGGGGGGGGAGGAAGCGTGAGCGCAGCGCTCCCGAACGGGTGAGCGCGTCGCGAGGGAACGCGGGTCTCTCTTGAGGAAAAGAGGAGACGCTCCGACTATCAACCTGCACAAGGATTTCTGGCGCTCCTGCATCGAATCATTCCCACCACTTACCGATGAGCAATTCGGGGAAAGGGCTCCGGGAGAAGCTTTCTCCCTGAGCTGCGAGCTTTCCACAGGCAGGGAGATCTTCTTTCCAAGGAGGGCTGTTCAGTCAACTCCCTGCCCAGAGAAAATGAGGACCCCCGACTTGCCTGTCTCCCAAACCACTAGCTTTCTACATGCAGGGTTTTTATCTTCACATGGAAGGCTAAAACACTCCCTTCCTCGTGTGCAAACTAAACTCCGATTCAGGCACTGCTGCAGCTCCACTTAGTGCAAAGTCCATGTGGATCTAAGGAAGCCCCCCGCCCCCCCCAATTTCCCATCACGAGCGCCATTCTGATTGTTAGCCACACCCACTGTCAAAGTGGTTAAGAAAGCAAAATTTGAAATCGGAAGTACATGGAACCCTAGTGCTGTGCTTAAAGGTTGGATTTCTGCTTAAAGCAGCATCTGCTTGGGAAGACCAGAAATTGCAGTCCATTCCAGCTACCTAGAAACCATTGTGCGCCTCGTGGAAATAAAATTGGAATGCCACCTGTTATTCCGCTACAAAGTCCAAACTGTGCTGGCAGAACCTCACTAATTTCTGAGATCCAGTCACTGTTTTGGAGATGAAAAAACAAAAATAGAGTCTGTCTTTAAATACATGCTGGAAGGTTTGCCGGAAGGAAATGTTTTCAGCTCTGATGGTTTTACTTGGGGTTTTATTGTCAGTTGAATTTTTAGGATGCTGTGTTTTATTTTACAGTTTGGATTGTTAAACCATCCCGAGACTTTGCTAATGGGATGGGCTAGAAAAGTTTTAAATGAATAAAAATAAAAAATAAATATAAATGCAAAAGCATTTCTTAGCCACGAGACCTAGAAACGCCCCCTTTTAAGATGAAGCAAGGAAATGAAAAGTAGCTGTGCTTGGGATGGAAGATTCAGTCCCCGGGGGCAGGGCAGGAAAACTCCCCCCACCCCTTGCACTTTCAGCACCGTCCGTTCGTCAGGTCCTGAGAGCGGGGAGCGACCCAGCTGCCCCTGCACGGCCTCGTTGGCCGGGCTCCTGGGGGCTGCTGGTGGGGGGGGGGGGTGAGCCGCCCCGAGGCTTCGGCAAGGGGCGGCATAGAAATGTTTTAATAAATAATAAATAAATAAATACCGTTGTGCCTGTTGATGTGAGCCACGACCTTCCCTTTGCCGAGCGCCGTGACGCGCAAGCTGTTGTCCCAGTGGCCGCCGCTGAAGAGCAGCTTCCCGTCGTGGGAGACGGCCAGGGTCTTCGAGGACACGTCCACCCCCGGGGCGAAGGGGCCGTACAGGTAGCGCTGGGTCCTGCAGGGGGAAGGATGGAGGGCGGGAAAGGTGGCAGGGGGCTCGCGTTGCCCCGCGGGGCCCGCTGGGGGTGCGAGAGGCCGCCCGGAAGCCGCCGCGCTCGCCCCGACTTACTTTGCATTGGAAACGGTGGAGTCTTTGGTGAAGCTGAAATAGTTGGAGATGTTCTTGTCGTAGGGGAGCCAGCCGTGGGTTCCCAGCAGCCCGTTGGCGCTCACGGTGACCTGGGGGAGGAAGCGAGGAGCCAAGTGTGGGATCGGAAGAGGGGATCCGTGCGGAGGACGGACGGCTGGATCCGAAGCCCCACTGGCGGAGGCTTTGCAGGAGCAGGGCGAGGAATGACGGAGGAAAGCGCGGCGTGGATGATGTTCTTACCAGCACATCCGGAGAGCCCTGAGTCATGAAGGAGTGGGCCTGATTCTTGGGGACCACGGCCTGCACCAGCGGGATCCCGTCACTGATGCCCTAGAAGTGACGGAGCGAAGGGAGAGGGGAGACCTTAAGCCAAGTCAGCTGGTAAAACTGCTGTCCCTTCCTCACAATGTCGGGGTCCATTCCCCACACGGATTCCCTGCCTCGCCCCCAGCCTGTCCTAATTTGGACACATCAGGAGAAGGCAAAGCTTGCTAGAGAAGGGCATCGTGCGAGGGAAATTTGGAGGCAGAAGAGGAAAAGGGAGGCCGGACAAGAGACAGGGGCACTTGATACGGGAAGCCACAGCCTTGAACGTAGAAGAACTGAGCAGGGCCGCCATGGATAGGTTGTTGTGGGGGGCTTTTAGAAACAGAGAAACAGAGTGAGTCAGAAGGGGTTTCCCGGGCCATCTAGTCTGACCCCCGGCTCCAGCCGGCTCCGCTTACGACATGCCCACCATGTGGACGTCCAGCCTATCCTTGAACCCCCTCACCAATGGGGCCTCAACGACCTCTCGTGGAAGCCCATTCCATACCCTCGGGGTCCTAACTGTCAGGAAGTGCTTCCTGGCACCCAAATGGAACCTGGGTTCCCTGAGCTTTGGTCCGTTGGAGCGTGTCCTGCCTTCCTCTGCAGGGGAGAACAGGTCTCTACCCACCTCCGTGTGACACCCCCTCGCATACCTGCATGTCTCCAACAGATCCCCCCTGAGTCTCCTCTTCTCCAGGCTGAAGAGACCCAGTTCCCTCCATCTCTCCTCATACCCCATATTGTTTATAGGGTAGCCCTACGCTGGAGACAACTTGATGGCCCATAAAAACAACCAACATTTCCACTTCCCCACGGTTGCCCGGCTTGTCCGAAGAGGGACGCGGGGGCTAGGGTGCTGGCCGTGTATATTCTCCTCTCCCTTCCCCTCCCACAATGAAAGAGACTTCTTACTTCGACGAAGAAGGATTTGAGCTGGCCGAGGTTCTCAAAGATGCTGGGAGAAGCAGTATCCAGCCGAGAGAGTCTTCGGGAAGCGTTTTCGGCAGAAAGCCTGGCCGGGTGGGGCTCCTAGACGAGGGAGGAATGGGGGATGGCACGGGGACTGAAGGAGGAGGGCTGTCTCTCCCAACTTGGCTTTGGGTGCAGAATCCGTATGCAGTTGTGCCTTGCCTGATTTTTCCCATCCCGTGCAAGCAACACTCGTGAGTGGTACGTAAGAACACAGGAAAGGCCAGGCTGGATGGGACCCGGGGTCCATGCAGGCCAGCCAACCAGCTGCCCCCAGGGCCCCTCCGGCAGGACTGGGGCCCCTCCGGCAGGATTCCTCTGCCTGCCCAGCTCCTCAGCCACTGGCGCCTGCAGGCAGGCTGCCCCCACGGAAGGAGAGCTTTGACCCGAACTCCAACCCTGCGAGAGGGGCTCGTCACCCGCCCCGGCCAGCCCTGGGCATGCTCAGAGCTGGCTGCCCTCCCATCCAGCACTGGGCGGGTCAGTCCTGCTGCCCGGCCTGGCCCCCCTCCCAGCTGCCATCGCCGGCCCCTCTGACCTTCAGCAGCTGGCACGGGGTCTGCCCGAAGTTGCTGATGAAGCCTTCCAAAGCCTTCCGCTGCGTCTCGTCGGCGATCGCGTCCAGGTCTACCGCCCCTGCAACGAAGCGAGAGGAGAGTGGGTGACTGAAGCATGTGCAGAGCTCGGGGGAAGCTTTGCTGACCATCAGGGAGTAGGCAATGGACCCCATGACCTGGGGAGGGGGCGGGCTCTCCCGCCCCGGAGGCCTTCAAGATGCGGCCGCAGGGAAGGCTTAACTGGGCGTCCCACTGAGCAGGGGGCTGGACCTGACTGAGCGCCTTCGGGTCCCTTCTGACTCAACGTTCGGGGGCAGCACCCCGACTCTGGGGGTTCGTCTGGCACCATCACTTGATTCTTTTCGGCATCCGGCGAAAACCTTTTTACTTCCCCAACATTTTAATATTTAATGGGTTTTATGTTTGATTTTATCACTAATACTTGCAGGCGATGTGCAGTTTGTTGGTATGTTGTGGCTGTTTTTTGTAAGCCGTCCAGAGACTGTGGTATCGGACAGCATATAAAAACTTTAAATGAACAAATAAACCAAATCTATGGTTTTGTGCATTTATATTCTGCACAGACCTTCCTGGCTGCCACATCTCCCTGCTAAACCACCATTCCTTATGTTGTTGTCTGAGCCAGACACAGCAGAGACTCTTTGGAGAGGACCACCGTTGAGAGATTCTGGAGATGCAAGTTAATTTTTTTTTAGCATGCATACATACACCTTCTGCTCCTTGTCCCACCATCTTGGTCTCTCTGTAGCCAATGTGTTTCTGAGCTTATGCTGGGTTTTACTCATCTAGCACATTCGTTGCAAAAGCTTAATGGCATTTTTGCAAGGTATCAGTTTTGGATTTCAAAGGCGGCCACCAGTTGGACGCCTGGCACCCATGTGCACCCGAACCCCAAAGATCTCCTTCAGGGGTCCCGCTCTGCTTGTTCCTACCAAGGGAGGTGTGGCAGATGACCACTAGGCAAGACTGTCTTCTCAGGGATGGCACCCCAGTGATGGAACTGCCTCCCGGAGAAGAATGCTTGGCACCCCCTTTATGGTCTTCCTGGGGACAAACACAAACCACTTTTCATTCATCCAGGCCTTTAAAATAACTCAGTGTTTTAGTTTGGGCCTTGGGGAATAAAATTCCATGTTTTGAGTGGTGATTTTAGTTTCAACACAAAAATGCCACATTTGACTCACTCAGCAAACTTCTGTTATGGGACAGCTATATAAATGCCGTAATAAATCAGTGTCAATAAACAGAAAATACCCTATCTGGTTATTTATACATGCTTTTGATAAACTGCCAATCCATCTTTAACAAGCTTGCATTTATTAACAGGCTGAAATGGTGACCCAGAAAGGTTTATTGGCATTTATTCGAACAGACAGGCAAGATCGCTTCCGCATCCGTGGGCAGGAGGTCGGGAGCCAGCTGTGGCCTGAAACCTGTTAGCAAAACATCCTTGCCAGAGGCACCTGCGGGCTCCCGCCTTACCTTCATAGGTGCAGTAATGAAAGACATTCAGGGCTTCCACGGCTGCTGGGCCCCTCTGCTTGTATCCAAAGATCAAGTCGATCCACTCGTGGAGATGGGCGGAAACGTATTCCGATTCCTGCCAAGGACACGAGGAAGAAGGGGATGGAGGAAGGGCTTGGGACCGCCCACCTGGCCAAGCTCGCCCCCTGAGAAGACACCTCACTTCCCCATCCTTGCAGAGTTATTCCTGGAAAGGGATCTGTACACTTACAAAATCCTGGACATTAAGGGCCCTTTTTCATCAGGTCTGCAGGGAAAGCAATGGGTTTGCAAGGCAGAGTAAAGCCAACCCCACTGACAAGTCATCCCAAGGTTTTCTTTGATTCATCAGATAATTTTTAGTTTAAATGAATGTGTATATTACCCGGAGTTTACTGAGTCCTTTTGGAGAGACAAAAAAATAAGAATGTAACAAAACTGGGAACTCTCTGTTCTATGCAAAGGCAGAGATGAATCTCTCCTTTCATCCCGTCACAGTCACACGCCAGGAATCAAAACCACCTCAAAACTATGGTGGCGTATGCCTAACTTCCCAGCCCTGGCACAGGGAATGCGCTCTCTGCACTTCAGGGAGCCAGCCCGAGCGAAAACAAACGGGAAACCAGAAGGGGACACAGCAGTAAATACTAACTGCAGGTCCCTCGCACCCGAGGAACCCCCCGACTGAACTTACGAGGGCTTGGCGGTGCTTGTGGATAAAATCCTCCGGGGACTTGGCCCATCGGGGGAGGATGACGTCCCCCACTTTCTCATTCGACATCTGCAGTGAGCCCAGATCGAAGCCTGAAGGAAAAGGACGGGCACATATGACGCCGGAGCCGCTCTCCCCGCCAAAGCGCATCCCTTGCCCTGAGCAGGAGCAACCGGCAATTCCAAATTCGAGCAGACAGATACGTTGGGGGTTGGGCATGGAGAGCTGCCAGCATCCTAGAAGCCCTCCTCTCGCAACTGTGATTCGCCCACCGACAATGCTGGCAGAAGATGGGGCTGGGGGCAGCTTGGAAGCCCTCCTCGCTGCCTCTCTTCTTCATTTCGCAGCCTCCGGCAGGAAAAACCAGCTGCGGAAAGTGTCGGTCGGCCGGCACCCGTCTGGGAGGGTTTTGCAAATAGCTATGCATATATATTTATATCTTTTTAAAATCATGTGAAGGAGACACAGGAATACACCCAAAGGCTGGCAAAATATACTTGTGTAACGTGCGGCCCGTAAGACTATGGAGGGCAGGCTTAAGAGGGTTGGAGGTGCTTGTCCCTCTTGCAGGGAAGGGGGCTTCCCCCCATTTTGGGGAGCCTACCCACACGGCCCCCCTTTTCCCAGCCTCCGTGCTTGCTTCCTTATAGATGGGGAAGAAATGGAGGTAGTGACAGATTTTATTTTCCTAGGTTCCAAGATCACCGCAGACAGGGACAGCAGCCCAGAAATGAAAAGACGCTTGCTCCTGGGGAGGAAAGCTATGGCAAATCTAGACAGCATGCTAAGAAGCAGAGACATCACCCTGCCGACAAAAGTGCGTATAGTCAAGGCGATGGTTTTCCCAGTTGCAATGCATGGCTGTGAGAGCTGGACCATAAAGAAGCCTGAGTGCCAAAGGATTGAGGCCTTTGAATTGTGGTGCTGGAGGAGACTCTGCGAGTCCCTTGGACCTCAAGGCGATCAAACCGGTCAGTCCTAGAGGAGATCGACCTTGACTGCTCTTTGGAAGGCCAGATCCTGAAGATGAAGCTCAAATGCTTTGGCCACCTAATGAGAAGGAAGGACTCCCTGGAGAAGAGCCTGATGCTGGGAACGATTGGCGGCAAAAGAAGACGGGGATGGCAGAGGATGAGGGGGCTGGATGGGGTCACTGGGGCAGTTGGCGTGAGCTTAGGTGGACTCCGGAGATGGTGGAGGACAGGAGGGCCTGGAGGAATGTTGTCCATGGGGTCGGGCATGACTTTGCGACTAGGCAACAAAACCAAAACCGAAAACTGTTCTCCTTGTCGCTTGGGGCGACCAGGCAAGCCCCTAAACGAAAGACCCTCTTACAACCATTTCTCAGTGTGGTTCGCTTGCACTTTAAACTTAAGCTCTTTATACTTTGTTTTTACTATGCTTTTGCGTTTTATGGCTTTAGATTTTGTGAGCTGCCAAGGGAGCTTTGGCCGCTCGGTGGTACAGAAATGATAGCAGTGGCGCGCTGCTACTGCCGAACAAGCAGTGATGAAGCGCAGGTTGATCATGAACGCTCAACCTGGCCTACCTCGCAGGGCTGTTGTGCGGATAAAACGGGGAAAGAGGAGGATCGTGCAGGGTGTGCCGAGGTCCTCGGGAAGGGGAAAGAGGCTGAATGTAAACCCGACAAACGATGCACAGCAAGGGAAGTGGCTGCATCTGCATTCGAGGTATCTCCAACTGCCTCAGCGCTGGGACCACGGAGGACGGATTGCTCGGATCTGCTCGAGGACTTCTGGCAGCTTCCGCCCCGTCGCTGCTGCCCGGCAGAGGGGCAAACAAGGTGCCCATTTGCCTGAACCAAGCCAGATAATATTTCTCACCATTCTGGTTCTCCAGAAATTCGGGGAAGTAGAAGAATTCCGGGATCAGCTCCTTCACATCCACAGGGTTTTCCATGCAGGCCTGCCAGGCCGTGGGAATGGAGTGGAACTGGCGGTCGGAGCAGTCGAATCTGCCGGCATGAACGTGGCATCAGATCTCATGAGGACCAGCCTGGAGCCAACAAAGCCCAGGCGACCGCTTGCCGCGAACGTGCCGGTCGCACGCTTTTTGCGGGGCAGGCCTTCACCTGCAAAGCCAGGGTGGCCAGCCAAAACCATCCCGCCACATGGTGGAAGCGACACGTGCCCCGTGCCACGAAAATGACGACCAGCAGCCACCATCCTCCCCCCCCCCCCGGGCAATCTCCAGGCTGCTTTCTGTAAAAATGGGCAGATAAGCACTTTCCTGTTCTGCACTCAAAGAAAAGAGAACGGAGAAGATTGATCTGAAGTGGGGAAGGCGTGGCGGAAAGTCAGAATTAGGGTCAAGTTTGTGTGCCGCCCTGAATACCCACATGGGGTCAGATCTGGATTTATTATTATGATTTATTATTTATTCAGAACTCGGGACTCCCAGCGGGTTGAACCACGGAGCTGTTGATTGGAAGGTCAGCAGGTCAAATCCATGCAACGAGGTGAGCGCTCGCTGCTCTGTCCCAGCCCCTGCCAACCGAGCAGTTCGCAAGCATGTAGGTCAATAGGCACCCCTTCAGTGAGAAACTAACGGTGTTCCACACACCCCAACGTTTGGTCATGGCAGCCACATGACCACGGAAGCATCTTTGGACAATGCTGGCTTTGGCTTACAAATGGAGATGAGCACCAGCCCCAGAGCTGGACACAACTGGCATGCATATGTGGAGGAAGCTTTACCTTGAAACAGAGCAAGTCAGAAGGGGTCTCCTGGGTCATCTAGTCTGACCCCCGGCTCCACTCATGATGTGCTCACCATGTGCATGTCCAGCCTGTCCTTGAACACCCGCACCGATGGGGCCTCAACAACCTCCCGGGGAAGCCCATTCCACACCCTCGGGGTCCCGACTGTCAGGAAGTGCTTCCTGGCATCCAAACTGAACCTTGGTTCCCTGAGCTTAGCTCCGTGGGAGCAAGTCCTGCCTTCCTCTGCAGGGGAGAACAGGCCTCTACCCAGCTCTGTGGGACACCTACCTCTACCTTTATTATATTATTCAACATATTTTCTTCCCACCCAGTAACCTGGAGGCTATATATTAATAGGCAGAACCAGTGCAATCAATTGGACTCCAGTTTGCCACGGCCAACCGAACCCCAAGTCCCACGACTTCTGATGGGTCTACTCAGAGTAGGGCCCCCTCCAGATCCACCCGCAATCAGGAGCCAGGGAAGCAAGGGGCGCGCAGTTTTGCCGAGGGCGCTGCTTCAGCGCGCCGGCCGGAGGAGCGGGGGGCCCCGGCCAAGGGCCGCTCACCTTCCGCTTTGCAGCTGGACGTGCAGCGTGGTGAACGGCTCGGTGCGGATCAGGTAGTGCATGACACCCGCTGCGTTCGAGTAGTGCGTCCCGTAGTGGAACTTGTCAATGGTGCCGTTGGGGTCCTCGAAGCTCTCGTACCTGGGACCGAGGCGGGACAGGAGGTGCGCTGCGTTAGGGCGGCCAAGCGGCAGGGCCTACCGACGGGCCGCCCTGCACAAACCAGGCTCGGGCAGGATTCGAACACAGCTCTTCCAAGCCCGGGAGCAGGCGGCCGTGCTTGGGAAGGGGACGCTGGGGGAAGCCACGCGGCAGACCGAAAAGCGAGGACCGTCGCCTGCCTGTGCTCACATGGCAGTAACCTGAAGGAGCGCTTACGTCCGTATATGCCCGACCACCCTTTGAGATCTGCGGGAGAGTCCCTTCTCCGGGAACCCTCCATGAAAGAAATTAGGAGAGTAAGTACACGGAGGAGGGCTTTCTCTGCGGTGGCGCCCAACCTATGGAATTCACTCCCCAAAGAGGTCTGCCTGGCACCGTCGTTACTGGTTTTTCGGCGCCAGGTAAAGACCTTTTTATTTAAACATCATTTTAATTGTTAAAATATATGATCTGGCCAGGACAACTTTCTTCTTCCTTCTCTTTTCTCCTCCTATATTATTTATTTACTTATTTTATACTGATAATTTTAATTTTATATTATTATGTTTGTAACTCAGTGTATTTTTTGTATTTTTGTATTTAATGGTAATTTATTAGGTTCTATTGTATTTCAATGTATTTTATTGTGTTGTAAGCCGCCCCGAGGCTTCGGCAAGGGGCGGCATAGAAATGTTAGAATAATAATAATAATAATAATAATAATAATAATAATAATAATAATAATAATAATTCCGCCTGCGCCAGCCCACACCTCCTCTTCCAGGGCCCAGTGATGTGCGATGCTTAACCCCACTAAAACACCAGCTATTTGCCCTGCTCACCACAGGGCGTGGGGCAGAGCCTCTGTCCCCAGATCCCTGGGGCAAATGGAGGCCGTCGCAGGCGGAAGAAGGGCCCCGAATCCCCCCCCCTTCCCAGCAGGCTCGGCTGTGCCCCGTCCGGGAAGGCAGGACCCCCAGCGTGGCACTCACTTCTCCTTGACCTCCTTGGCATGCCTCCCGTTGGCCACCCCGATGGGCTTGGAGAGATCCCGGAACAAGGCGGGGTCGCTGAGGTCCAGCGTTTCCGAGACGTAGTCCTGCAGGATCCATGGGAACTGAACAGACAAGGAAAGGCAGACGGGAAACTGCTGGGTTCGGATCCGGGCAGCAGCGAGGAGACCCCTGTAAGGCTCGGGGCAAAGATCCCCCCCTCCCCCAGTTTTAGAGGCTTACCACGGGATACTGGGAAAGATCGTTGTAGGTGCGGCCGGCAATGGTGTTCAGCTGCATGAGGTATTCAAAGTTGGAGATCTCCCTCTGAACCCATTTCTGGAAGAGAAGGCGGAGGAGAAGGCTCGCCACAACCAAGCGGATCCAGAAGGAGCGGGGGGCAACCCCCAAGGCCCCCCGGGGACTTGCCTGGCCACAGCCGTGGGGATCGTGGCCGGCTGGGCAAAAGGGGGACGGGGCAGCTGGGAGTGAGAGCGCCACCCCTGGACCGGCAGCCATCTCCCCGGGAATCCTGGCTTTGGCAAAGGGAGGAGATGCTAGATATCCCCAGGGAAGGCAGAAAAGCACTCTGCACATGGACAGAGACTCTTCAGTCTCCAGTGCAGGTGCTCAGGTTTGTCTTGCTCTGGGCTCGGGCTCAGCCCTGCCAAATACTGTGACTCAGCAAAGGAGGGGCTGGGAGCCGGCTGAGGTCTGGCAGGGTCTCCTGCACAAGGATTCACGGTGGGCTAAACTTCCCTTAATCCGTTTGAGTCACACAATCAGGATCTGCAGCTCAGCAGAGTTCCTGGACTTGCCCACAGCCACCAAAGAGACCAGTAAGTAAGCAACTGGATAATTTCTAAATCATACCTGACAGAGAAAGCAAGCGCCCCTGTGCGTCGGGGGGACCAGATTTGCCCCCTCCCTGAACTGGCTGCCACAGCGGCAAAAGCCATGGCGATTTCTCAAGGGAACAACCATGTCATGAGTGGAGCCGGGGGTCAGACTAGATGGCCCGGGAGCCCCCTTCTGACTCGCTCACTTTCTATCTTTCTATGTACTGCCCCCGCCCCCACCCAGATGTTGCTGCACCCACTTTGCAGCAGCCAACAGCTTAGCAAATTTGCCTCCCGGGAGTTTTCAAGGCAAGGGACGACGTGGCCCCCGAGCCCTGGAAACCACCCACCCCGCCTCGAATCCACAGCACCCTTCTGTCTTCCCACCTCACCCCTCACTGCCTTTCCGCTCTCCCCAAACGGCAAAGGCAGAAATGCTCAAGGGCAGGTTTGGGCCGGGGACGGGCCGGGACGCGCCGAGGGGGCTGCCAGGCGCAGCGCCTGCTCCGCACCTGAGTCAGGCCCGAGGCCTTCAGCAGCTCCTGCGGCGAGCGGCTGGCAAAGTAGATCTGGTTGGGGGGTCGCAGGCTGAGAATGGAGGAGTATACCTTGTTCCGGACCTGTGGGGCAAACCGGCAGCTCGGGTCATGGGCCCAGCGAGGGTCGTCCCCAGGCGGCGGCGCTCCGGTGGGCCTGCCCGCCGGAGCCGCACCTTGGCAGGCGAAAGGCCCGTGACCGGCTGGGAGGCTCGAGGCTGGGAGGGGCGGGAGGCGCTGGCCGTTACCATTTTCTTGAAGTTGAGGAAGTAATTAGCCTGGTCGATGAAGAAGAACTCCAGGGCAGAGCGGCGGAGGTTGTAGCGACACAGGTGCAGCTCCCGGAGCTGGGACAGGGGCCGCTTGAAGTCGTAGCCGATGCCTGGGTGGGAGGGCGGAAGGCTCAGAAATCCGCGAGATTCGTGATCTAGCCAGGGGTGCAGAGCTCCGGCACGGGGGCCTCTGGGGTCCCCTTCCCAGCTCTCTTCTCCCCACTCTTCCCCGATTGTTTCCTGGTTTCCCCTCTTTTGTGCGGATCCTTATCCCCTTTCTTTAAGGTTAAAACCTCTCTTCTGGCTTTAAAAGAAATCAAAGGTTTTTGGCCTGGCTTCTCCGGCCTTCAGTTCCACCCGTCACACAAATGCAACGTCTCCTAAAAGCAATCTTGCTGTTCGGCTCAAAGAGCGTCCGTCTTCCCTGTGCTAGCTCATTGCTTCCTTGCGGGGCCTCTTGGGGGTCACTGGCTGCGTGGGGCACAACTCAGTGGCGGGCATGTCTCACAAGAAAAATGGAGACCCCCCCCCCATTCCTTTTTGGAGGGTCCACCAGCCACGGACACTGGCCTGTGGTGACTTCGGCCCAGGGCTCGTCCTGCTGATATCCCCTCGAGACAGGGAAGGGGCAGAGGCCCTTCCCTGAAGGAGATTACGAGGGCGACTACCCGGAGAAGGGCCTTCTCTGTGGTGGCCCCCAGTTGTGGAATTCACTCCCCAGAGAGGTTCACCTGGAGCCGTCACTGTCTTCTTTTTGGCACCAGGCTAAAGACGTTTTATTTCCCCAAGGTTTTAAGATCTGATGGTTTTAATTGCGCTTTTATTGTCGGCTGGAATTTTTAAGGACGCTGTGTTTTATTTTACATTGTCATATGGTTAAACCGTCCTGAGGCCTCTGTAAGGGATGGCCTAGAAAAGCTTTAAACAAACAAACAAATCCCAGTAGCCCTACTCTGAGTGTAAGGATGCCTGGAGCAAGCCCAGGGTGTGCACCAAGCCAGAACTGTTTTCACCGCTGCACGGGCGGGAGATTCCTTCTCACGCTAGAGAAAATTCAGCCTCCTCAAGAGATTAAGCGTGGGCTTCTGCTGCATCCGAGCTCGTAAGCTGCAACCTCCCCGCTTCCCTGTTGCCAAAGCCCAAGGCGATCCTTTGCCAGGCAGCTGAAGCCCTGCAGTCGGCAGGTCGGTTTACCTCCGAACAACCTTTGGCCAAGCTGGAGGAGGAGGCCCGGAGCACGGGAAGAGCCGCGTCCCACGGGGAGCATCCCTCCGGTCCCCCCCTTCCACGCCGGCCGCTGGATGCTCCCTCCGGGGGCCTCTTGCAGGGAAAGCCGGGCGGCCGGCGAGCGTGACGGAGCCCCCCGTGCCTCCGCGCTGGGCCAAGGCCTGGGTCTCACGCCTGGCCCTGCTCCCCTGCCGGGAGCCTCCCGGCTCTTCTGCAACAGACCGACTCTCTCGCTCAGTGCGAGAAACTTCACCGGGCAGCTTGGAGGGGCCCCAACGGGCTCAGCCCCCGCTGGCTCCTGCCCCACACTTCACGGGTGAGCGGCCGGCCCCTCTCCCCCGGAGCCAGGATTCTGCAAGGCCGGCCCGTGGAATCCGCTGGCCGAGCTGCAGAGGGTCCTGGGAGGAGGTGCCCTGCCATTACCTTCCTCAGTCTCCTCCTTCTCGCTGCTGCCGTCGTAAAAATAGATGTGCTGGGTGGTGACCTCCAGGCGGCCCGGGATCACGGCCACGATGGTGATCAGCTCGCAGTCCTCCGAGATCACCAGCTTCTCCCGCTGGCTTTGCTCTTTGGGCTCCACGCTGGAAGGAACCGGAAGCTGAGTGGGCGCTGCCCAGGGTGCCGCGGGTCCAGCTGACGCCAGGAGCCCAGGCCGGGTCCCGCTGGGCCGGCAAGTGGCCACCCAAGGGAAGCTCCCCCTTCCGGGAGGCTGGAAGCACTCACTGGCTATCCAGGAAGGAGAGGTCCTCTTCAGCCAGCTGGTCGTCCTGCAGCTCGCTGACCTTCGCTTCTCTGGCCACGGCCAAGGGGAGCGGCTCGGCCGGGTGGTGCAAATGGTCAGCGCCTGGAAGGGGGCGGGAGCCAAGGCTGGGTCAGCCCCGGGCACCGGCCGGAGGGACAAGCACGCGATCCGAGGGAACGGGCAGCTGGGGGGGGAAGCGCCACCCTGGAGTGGCAGCCGTCTCCCCAGGAATCCTGGCTTCGGGGAAGGGACGGAGATGCTGCATATCCGCAGGGAAAGCGGAAAAGCACTCTGCACACAGACAGAGGCTCTTCAGTGCCAGGAATGACGGCTGGTGCACCGGCTTGCACCCCCCTGCTTCCGCATCCTGTGGCTGCCCGACGGGGAAGGCTGCCGGGTGTGCAACCGGGCCCCACGGTGAGCGATGCCGGGCGTCCGCTTGGCTCGGCCGAGCGTGAGGGGAAGTCCGTGGGTTCTGGAGGGACGGGTCCTGCAAGGGCTTGACCCGACGCTGCGCCGTGGCTACTCGTCACGCAAGCTGCGCTGCCCAACTCGCTAGGGAGCCCTTTGGCTTGATCGTAGGAAACTGTTCATAGCCCGTTGAGCGCCCTCCCCCCGCACCCGAGGCGGTTCCCGCAGGCTTTCCAGGGACGTTGAGAGAGGGAAGCGGGAGACGCTCCTTACCCAGGTTGTCGCGAAGGGCGCTCGCCTCCACGTGGCGGTCAAAGTTGTAATTGGGCACCAGCTTCAGCCTCATTCGGGAATAGGTCTCCGCGCCGGACAACTTCCAGTGCATCTCGGGAGGGTTCCTGAGCACGCGAGCAGAGAGAGGGTGGAATAAGGAGTCTCTCCTACCACCAAGGATCCCAACACCGCTGCCGAAGCAGGCAGGGCCCACGGGAGGCCCCCTCGCCCGGGCAGCAGTCCTCGTGGGGCAGGGCTGCATGGCCTTGTTCCGCCTGGGTCCGATTCTACTTGGAGAAGCTTGTAGGAGAAGGCCATGGGCGAAAGGGACGGGGCCATGATGCCAAAAGCACGACTGCATTTAGCTTCCGGCTCTTTCTGCCAAGAACTAAGGGTCGGTCGAGGCATCTCGATGTTTTAGAAGAGGAGAAAATGGCACGAAAGCCAGGAAAGCACCCACGATCGGTAGACGGGGGAACGCGGGCCCTGCGGTTGCAGAATAAACCGCTGGGAGTATTGGCCGCTGAAGAGAAAGCAAATTTCCTTTTGAAGGGATGCATGATCTGCCCAGGATTGTTCAAACGGCCCTTTCAAAGCTACGGCAAGCTGGAGAATGGTTCGTTTTAGCAACCCAGGCGCTGGGTGTCTAGGGTGGAAGAACACTTGTTCGTGCCCACATGCTTGCGTGGAAGATGGGGGGGGGGGGAGGCAGGTGGTAGGTGGAGACGTACCTGTCAGCCCAGGCGGAGCGCGGGGAAGTCAGCAAGCACCTGAGCGCCCGCCACTGCTTCAGGACGGTGGTGTGGTGATTGTTGACCTGCTTCAGCATGTTCGTGTGCCGTATGTTCTCCAGCTTCGTCCGCTTCATCACTGGTTCCAGGACAAGTCTCTGGCGAAACAGGAAGCCGGGGGGAGTGTGGGGGGGAGGAAAAAAGGCAAGCGGGTGAGGGCAGGAAGGGAAGGGGCAGGTGCCCCCCACCCAAAGTGTCTGTGGGGGTCTGCTGTGCGAGAACAAGGAGTGTGGTGACCCATGGGAGTGGAAAGGAAAGAGAGAGTCCGTCGATCAACACCGCAGCCTTCACAGAATCATCGAATAGAGCTGGAATGGGCCATGAAGGCCATCAAGACCAACCCCTTGCAGGACCCCAAGTCACACCATCCCACTCAGAAGGCTGCCCAGTTTCCTTTTGAATGTCCCCAGTGTGGGAGAGCCCCCCACCTCTCCAGGCAGCTGATTCCACTGCCGTATCGCTCTGACACTGAGGAAGCTTTTCCTGATGTCCAGCCTGGATCTGGGTTGTCACAACTTGACCTGATTATTCCGCGTCCTGCACTCGCATCAGCAAGGAGAGATCTTGACCCTCCTCTTTGTGACAGCCTTTGAGGTCCTTCTAGGGGGAGCTCATGTCCCCCCTCCATCTTCTCCTCTCAAAGCTGAACCTGCCCAGTTCTCCCAGTCTCTCTTCACAGGGCTGAGTTTCCAAACCCTGGATCATTTCTGTTGCCCTCCGCTGGACCCTTCCTAATTTCTCTGCATCTTTCTCAAATTTTGGTGCCCAGAATTGGACACAGGATTCCACATAAGCTCTGACCAGTGAGGCATATAGGGGAACTACTCCTTCTCGTGATTTGGAAGGAATACTTCCATTACTGCATCCCAAAATAGCATTTGCCCTTTTGGGGGCTGCATCGCATCGTTGGCTCATGCTTAGCCTATTGCCCACAATTGCTCCAAGATCTTTTTCTTGTTCAGTCCTGTCGAGCCACGTGTTCCCCATCTTGCATTGATGCATTTGGTTTCAACAACCTTCATGTTTGCAGACCGATCCATGTAATTCATAAGGGCCAGAAGCTTGGTTTTTTGAAAGAGAATTTCAGGCTGCTGCCAGTGGTCCGATTGTGCTGGGCCCTGGACAAAGTTCCGCTAGCCCAGGCCTGGGGGGCCCACGGAGCTGGCCTCCCGAGACCCACGCCCGGCCCCCCACCCCCTACCTGGAAGTTCCTCCTGCTGTCGGCCTTCTCCTTCTCCCTCCTCTGCGAGCTGCTCATCAAGGCATCGTAGCAGGAGTTCCAGAAGCTGGACATGTGGTCGTGGCTCTTGGCGAACGTGTCCAGTTCGAACTGAGCCATGGCAGGCTGCACCTGCCAACAGAAACCCGGCCGGAACGTCACCGAAAGGCGGCGCCATCGGGCAAATGCCCCCTCCCTCCTTCAAGATGGGGCTGCACTCCGAATCTAAGCCACTTCTGCACGGCCTTCTCAGGAGTGGCCCCAGGCGCGGCGAGTTTTACACATCTTTGAAAATACGAGGGGTCTTCAAAGAGTCGCAACACTTTTTAAGAACTCTATTCACGAAGAATTTCAAAAGCAAATCACCTCCCTTTTCCACATAGCCATCGTCCTCTGTGGTGCATTTTTCCCAGTGTCGTACCAACTTTTTAAAATGCTGCCCGCAAAAAATATATAACATATATTTATAAAATATTAAATATAAAAGTGTGGAAACTTTTTGAAGACCCCTGATGGAACCCTGGCTTTTTTATAGCCTTCATAAAATATATTGCTACATCCCGTCATGTATATATTTTATATACAGGGGAACTTCTTCCTTCTCTTTTCTCCTCCTATATTCTTTATTTACTTATTTTATACTGTTAATCTTAATTTTATATTATTATGTTTGTATCTCAGTGTATTTTTTGTATTTAGTGGTAATTTATTATGTTCTATTGTATTTCAATGTATTTTATTGTGTTGTAAGCCGCCCCGAGGCTTCGGCAAGGGGCGGCATAGAAATGTTATATTATTATTATTATTATTAATAATAATAATAATAATAATAATATTTTAACAGCGGCTTCAGGGATTGGGTTGCATTAGGCGCAAGAGAACCAGTGCAGGGAAACAGGGGGACGGCCCTGCTCTAAGCCCCCGGGCGGTGGCGGGGGGGAGGGGGGGCAGCTGCTTACGTGCTTCTCGATGAAGGCCATCCACTCCGGGGTGGTGCAGAACCCCTGGAAGTCCTCGTAGAAGGTGGGGCTGCCGTTGGTGGGGGGCAGCGAGGGCAGGAAGTGCTGCAGCTGCAGGGCGTCGTAGCACCGGTCCATCAGGGTGCGGATGACGGGCACCAGGCAGGAGAAGGCCTCGGACTTGGCGTGCAGCGAGCGCCGCAGGGGCGCCTCCAGCTTGCCCAGGAGGTAGCAGGCCTCCCCCTTCCTGAGGGCCGAGGCGGTCTGCAGGAGGCTGTGCAGCTTCACGTAGGCCAGCGCCTGCAGCTGCGGGGAGGGGAGGGGAAGGGAGAGCAGCCGGTCGGCCCGAGCAGCAAGCCGCGAGGGGCTCCCGGCCCGGGAAGCGTGGGGGGCCGGGAGGCAGGGGGGATCTGGCCCCGTGCTAGAGTCCCCGCTGCCCGGGTGCGCCACGCTTCCGCGCCAAATTGGCTCCCGAAGGCTTGGGGTTCTGAGCCCCTTCTGAGCAGGCGGGGCGAGGCGGGGCGGGGCAGGCAGGTGAGGGAAGGTGCGTGCGGCGGGCTCTGGGGCTTACCTGCACATCCTCGATCATGATGTACCCAATCAACACCCGGAGGCCGATATGGGCCATCTCCTTCAAGTCAGAGGTGCCGTTCGCCAGGTGGTACCAAACGCCCAGCTTGTCCAGGAGGCTGTTGACCCCCTCGTACACCTGTGGCCCACGGAGAGCTGAGCGTAAGGCCTGGGCGCTGGGACGCACGAGTGGATAGAAAGGCCACCTGCGCTTCCTCCTCATTCCGCATCGCTAAGCCCACTCTGCAGACTCGGCAGGCTGCCAGCGTGCCCCTGAGCATGTGCAGCGCACCCCTTCCTCACCAGTCAGGCTCTTAAAGGGGCTGACGGCAGGGCCGGGAATGTCTGAGCGGGTTCGCCAAGGAGCAAGCCGGCGACAGGCCACGCCGCAAGCGCCTCCAGAGATCCTCTGGACTTTGCTTCTGGGCCACTGGCCACGGGAGCAGGCCGGAAGCCGCCAGCATCCGCGGGGACATGGGGAGGGCTTGCCCGCAGGCCCCAAGGAAGAGAGCGGGAGCGGGCCTGTGGGATGCCAGGGCGGGCAAACCGGGGGTGGTTCCGGGATAAAGGGGGCCCCGGCAACGAGGCACCCCCTCCCTTCCTGACTGGGGCCTGCAGACCTGTGGCCCCCACCATTCCCAGCCCAGCCACGGGTCCCGGCCGGGGGAACGCCGGCCGGAAGCACCCTGAGCCGGGGCGGCTCCAAAAGCCCGCCCAGGGCCTGCGCTGGGCCCGCGCGCTCCGGCCAGAGGAGCACTCGCCTTCTCGCTCCACAGGGCCTGGTTGTTGTGCCCCTCAGCGAAGAGGAAGTCCTGCAGCAGGCGGAGCAGCTTCAGCGCGTTCTGGGTGAGGCCGGGCAGCATGGCGGGCGTGGGGTCCTTCAGGTCCGTCAGGGCCGACTCCAGCATCTCCTCCAGCAGGCTGGCGGAGAACAAGAAGCCAAGGTGGGCGGGGGGCGGCTTCAGCAGCGCATGCGCCAGCCTGGTCTGCCGTGCCGCTTGCGGCCCGGGTGCCGTGCCGGGAAGACGGCGGCCTTGGCAGGCGAGGCGAAGGCAGGAGTCACCGGCGGGAAGCGTCTGCGGCGGCCCTGGCGGGTGACCACCATGGAGGACGCCTCCCACAAGGGTCCCCTTCCCCTGAGTCACGCCCTCGCCTGCAGCCCCCCGCTTCTTCTCTCTTCCCCCAAACTGCTTCTGCTGCTGGGAAGCGCCCATCACACACGGCTCCCCCCTCCCCAGCCTGCCTGGAGCCGGGGTCCTCTGGGTTCCGTGCCCTGCAACTCCCAGCACCCTTCACCAAGGGCTCGGTTGGCCGGGGAGGGTGGGAGCTGTTGTCCAAAACCTACGGAGGCCTGCAAGTGCCCATCTCATGTCGCCCCCATCTTCCGATCGGCCGGCTCCACCTGCTTTGCTCCCCCTTCAGCCCCGAGCGTTTCTCCTACACGCGTGGAGCCGCTCCCTCTGGCCAGAGAGGCTGCGTTTAGCCGGGCGCGTGAACACTGCCCCAATATCACGCGTGGAAGACCAGTGCCATATTTTCTTCTGTGTGCCCCACGAGGAACGGAGATGGGTGCGGAGCAGAGGGGTACAGGGTGCCCCGCTGAGCGGACCGGTGCCTGGCCGGCCGGGCCCGAGGAATCCCCCGGATGGATCCCTCACACGCGCCCGACCCCGTCCCTCGCTTCCCTCTCAGCAACGGACGCCTCGCCTGCTCCGCAGCCCCTGGCCAACGGCCCGCCCTCTCACCTGCGCTTGATCTCGTCCGGCGGGCGCACCAGCTCGCACGCCGAGCCCAGCTTGGTGAGGACAGAGAAGACCTGGCCCCGCTCCTTCCAGGCCGCATCGTCCCAGCCCTCCACCCCTCGCCAGGTGACCGAAAAGACGATGTTGGTCAGCAGGTTGCACAGCTCCTCCTCGGGAGTTTGCTGGGGGAAGAGAGTGGGATCGAGAGGGATGTGGCAGAGGCCTCTGCGGCCGGAAAGCCTTTGCCCAGGCTTTTCGTCCCTCCAAACGTCCCTGTCCTTCAGGCTCCAGAGAGCCAGCGGCTGGGCAGGGGAAAACCGGGCGGCCTTCCTTAACTGCAGCAGAGCCAGGGAGCTAACGGCGCCACCCGCCCGCGCCCACTCCTCTCCGGCTTTGCGAATGCCACAGCCTTGCCTTCCCCTCTTCTCTCCCCACGGCCAGACTTCAGGTTGCAGTCTCCTTGGGGCACGTCAAGCGATTTAAGAGCGGGAGATCTGGACTCCACAAATGGGATGCATCCAGCCCAGCTTTCTGTACACATGCGTGTGTGCGTGCACGCGCACACATGCACAGTGAGTTCCCAGGAAGCAGCATCCCGGATGCCCTTCTCCGGGAGCCCCCGTTGAAAGAGGCCTGGAGAGCAGCTACCAGGGGAAGGGCCTTCTCAGTGGTGGAGCCCCGACTGCGGAATAAACTCTCTAGGGAGGTGCCCCTGCCACCGACTCGTTAACTCTTTTCGGTGCCAGGCCAAAACCTTTCTATTTGCCCAGAACTTTAATGGTTAGAATGATCTTATTCCATATTTTGAGGCATTGCTGGCTGTGATTTTCTATTCAAGTGCTGTTGCGGATTTTGCTCTCCTTGTTACTGTTGTTTCACTCTTTATGAAAGCCATCAAGCGATCCTGTTTGGATATTGGATGGGATACATTTTGGAAAAAATAAATATATAAAAATAAATAAAATACAGCAGCCACAAGCAGGTGCTGCTGACAGTCTTACTCTCCTTGAATTTGTCTCATCCTTTTACAAGGCCATCCCCGTGACCCACGTACCAAGTTATTTATTTATTTTTTATTTATTTCTCGATTTATATCCTGCCTTTTTCCTACAAAGGGCTCAAGGCAGCTTACATCATTCTCCTCCTCCATCTTATCCCCACAACAACAACCCTGTGAGGTAGGCTGGGCTGAGAGTCTGTGACTGGCCCAAAGTCACCCAGTGGGCTCCATGGCCGAGCGGGGACTCGAACCCGGATCCTCTGAGTTCCAGTCCCATGCTCTTAACCACTACACCATACGGGTTATCTACATGCTCCTCTCTTTAGGCAACGAAGTTTTAGGTCTACTGCTAGCATTACATAAAAGAAGTAATTAGCTCTGGGTTTCACTGTCACCCGCTGTGTCTGGTGACGGACATGCACTCTCTGGAGTCTCGATTTGTCGGCTTTCTTGGGCCCCGACAAAAACTCCTCCTCGCTTTCCGCAGAGGAATTCCACACGCTGCTGAGTCCGGATGCGCGCCACCCCGCTTGGGCTGCGCTATCACGGGTCGCGGTCACGACTGGCCAAGCTTCGGCCCCTAAACGCGGGCGGTCTCCCACTGAGCAGGAGCGCCACTCCTTCTGGCTAGCGGCCAGCAGCGCCGTTGACGGGAAAGCAGGGACGAAGCCTGCGACCCTCGGCACGCAGAACAGCTGCCGGGAGCTATGGCTCCTGCTCCGGGAAGGACGGACGGATGGACGGAAGCAAGCAAGCCTGGATCCAGGCTCAGGTGGACACACTGGACCTCACCTGCTGAGTGGGGTGCTTCTCAGGAGGAGGAGGAGGAGGGGGGGCTCACCTGGGGGTTGCTCGTGTTGGAGATGGTGTCGCTGGGCAGGGTCTCCTGGTAGCTGCTCTCGTCCAGCACGTTGGAGAGGCTGGAGCTCTTCCGCGCCCGAGTGCCGGGGAAGGGCTTAAAGTTCTCCAGGGGGGACGGAGTCCCCGGCAGGCTGACGGGCGTCTGGTTGCCGCTCTCCGCGGTGGAGCTCGCACTGCCCAGGTCCAGGGCGAGGTCGAAGGGCGACATGCAGAACGGGGACAGCGGGCAGTAGACGCGGTCAGGCTGCAGCGCCTCGCCGGCCCGGCCCTCGCCCTGCCCGGGGATGTCCATGTTGGACGAGGAGCCGTGGCTGGCGAGCTCCAGGGAGTCGAAGGACTTGAAGGCGCCGTCGGGGTGGAAGGGCCGGCTCCGCTGCCCCGTGGGCGAGACGGAGTGGTCCGAGAAGCCCTCCGAGAGCTCGTGGTCCGAGCCCTCGTAGCCCAGCGGGAGGAAGACGTCCAGGTCGGGTGGGTCGCAGGCCGAGGGGCTGGCCACGTCGGGCGGCTCCCTCCCCGCCTCGGCCCCGGGCGGGTTGGCGCTCCTCAGCAGGTCGGGGGGGCAGCCTGTGCCGTTGGCCGAGCCGGACAGGCTGTGCTGGCGGGACTCGTAGGACTCCTTGACGTACAGCTTGGTGAGCGTGTCCTGCCAGCCGGCCAGCCGCGCCAGCTGCTTCACCACGTCGCTCTGGGAGTAGATCAGGTGGAAGAGCTGGGAGGCGGAGGAAGCGGAGCACGGCGTGACTCGCGGCCCGGGGCAGCCGCCCGCTGGGGGCCTCCCGGCGCGGCTGAGCACAGCTCCCATCCTCCCCCGCAGGGGCTCCGCTGGCTGGGGCTGAGGGGGCTGCAGCGCATCTCTCACAAGCCGCCCTGCCGGGTGAGGCAGGGGAGCAGGTGGGGGTCCCCTTCTCGGGATGGCGGGCCGTCTGCAAAAGGTGGGCCTTGACCTTCTGCGGGGCGGGGGCGGTGAGAATCGGTGCCTCTCCGGGGCCAGGCCATGGGACCGCTCCCCAACGCAGCAGCACGGGGCGTGCGTGGCCACGGGGGGCAAGGGGGCAGAGAGGCGAGGGGGCAGCGCCTGGGCAGGAAAGGCCGGGCCGGGCCAGGCCAACCCGTCGCCAGACCAGCTCTCCGCACTTTCGATGTGGCCGCTTTTCCCGCCCCAGCCCAGGGGGCACACATGCCTGGCCCCTCTCCTGACTCACCTTTCTGCAAACGTCCAGCCGCACGGGCAGCTCTGCCCGGTGGGAGAGGTACACGACAGCCACCAAATCCTTGTAGTTCGGGGAGTCTGCGGACAGGAAAACGAGGAGCGGGACAAAGCTCGGATTAATGCAAAAGCGAGTTTCGGGGGCACTGCGCCTAACGGTTCTGTCCCAACAGCCTGGGAACCTGCCTGTACACACAGCGCACGCATTTCCTGAACGCAGACTCAGACACGCGTGCGTGCCCGTCCCCTTCGCAGTCCCGCAGTTAAGGTGCGTATGCACAGGGAGCGATCCATCCCAGCTCACCTGCTGCACGACTGCTGCTCAGGTGCACCTGCTTCATCTCTAGGAACGCGTAAGGCATTATGAGAGGCCGTGCATCCCAGCCCATCAGACTGAACTCCAGAGAGGCGCTGGCACCTTTTGGCCACTGCTAGGACACCTCCTTCAAGGTGTGTGCCCCGGGAAGGAGGCCCATGGGCTGGCCTGGCTCTCCTGGCCCACGGGAGGCAAAGCGTTAAGACGGAAGTGGGCGGCTTCTGGTTCTCCATAGGCTAAACGGGAGCCAGCAATGCGAGGCAGCCGCCAAAAGGGCCAGTACTATTCTGGGATGCATTAACAGAAGTAGTCCTTCCAAATCATGAAGAGGAGGATTTCCCCTCTACTCCTCACTAGTCAGACCTCACCTGGAATACTGTGTCCAGTTCTGGGCACCAAGAATTGAGAAAGATGCAGAGAAATTAGGAAGGGTCCAGCAGAGGGAAACAGAAATGCTCCAGGGTTTGGAGACCCCCGCCCCGTGAGGAGGGACTGGGAGAACTGGGCATGTTCAGCCTTGAGGTGAGAAGACGGAGGGGGGACATGAGCTCCCTCTAGAAGGACCTCAAAGGCTGCCACAAAGAGGAAGGCCAAGATCTCTCCTTGCTGATGGCAGAGTGCAGGACACGGAATAATCCAATTCAAGCTGTGACAACCCAGATTCAAGCAGGACATCAGGAAAAGCTTCCTCTCTGTCAGAGCAAGACGGCAGTGGAACCAGCTGCCTGGGGAGGTGGGGGGCTCCCCCTCACTGGGGACATTCAAGAAGAAACTGGGCAGCCTTCTGAGTGGGAGGGTGTGAGTTGGTTTCCTGCAACAACAGGGGGTGGACTGGATGGCCTTCTTGGCCCCTTCCAGCTCTACTCTTCTACGATTCTATGAAGTGTTTTGCTCCAGGCCTTGCATCAGCTCTGGCCAGCCCAACCAATGGTGAGGGAGTGTCGGGGCTGAGGCCCACCAGGTGCTTTGGACTACAGGATGATCCCTCCTGGGCTCAGGAGGCTGAGTGACCTGTGAAAGGTCATCCATGGCAAACGCAGGGAAGAGGCAAGCCAGGTCTCCTGCTGAACTTTCTTTTAAAAGTAAGCTCAGCAGGGGACCTTTGTCTTCCTTAGCAAGCTTTCTCCTGAGAAAGATCTTCAGCCCAGTTCCGCTCCCAGGCCCGGGAGGCAGAGGGCATCTCCAGCCAAATGCCGCAAGCAGCCACGCCGGGCACACCCAAGTGCGGGCGCCTCACCTGATCCCAGCACCTGCTCCAAGAGGCACCGGAAGAGCAGCATGGAAACCGGGACGTCATTCAGGAACGAGATGAAGCCCTGGTAGCCGATGTCCTTCAGCTTCAGCCGGTGTTTGCTCCGCTCGTTCACCTTCTCGTACTTCAACAGCTTGTACAGGATCTGTGCGGGGCAAGGAAGATGCGGCTAACCAGGCCGGGGACACAGCCCTGTGGCTCCCTCTGTCCCTGGACCCTCTGGCAGCACAAGAGGCCCTCTGCCACCCCACGCCCGGTTCTTCACTTGCGGGGGAGAGGAAGAGCAGAGCTGCGAGTCCTGGAAGGCCGAGTCGCAAATTGTGTGCTTCCAGGCGTTGGCGAGAGAACCTGCCGAGGCGCTGCTTTCGGCTGCCCCCTCCGGCTCCGGCCTCCACTTGCGCTCAGGGCGCTGTGGCTTAGGCAGCGCTGTGGGGATCACATACTGCAATGCATGGGGTGGGGTGGAACCGGCATGGATGACCCCGTGGGCCCCAGCCCCTTCTCGGCGCCTCGCCGAGCCAGGTGAGGGATCAGAAGCACACGGGGCAGGAAGACCCACGAGTTCTCACCTTGAAAACCCTTTCGCGCACCTCGTCCGAGAACTTCCGCTGAACGAGCAGCGAGAACAGGATCTCCACGTTTCCCAGCTCAAATAAGAACGTGTACACCTGCTCCTGGGAAGGGGAGCTCTTCTGCAGGCTGTGGATCACCTCCAGCACCCCACACACCTGCAGGACACGGTCGCAGAGACGACGACTCAGAAGGGTGCCAGGAGCGGCCACCGGAGGGCGGCAGAATCGCTCCAGAGGGTCACAGCTCCTGACGCTTTCGCAACCCACTCCCTGCTCCCTACCCCTTGGCACGACTGTCGGCACGGCCTCCCCGTGCACGCCCCCATGCTCCTCTTGCCTACAGCGTGCTAAATCGTGCAAAATCTAACACAGGAATAATGAGCCTGGCTTTGTGTCCATGCACACCCTTCTTAGGGCTTCCGAGTTCTGTGCTTCGATTCCGCCAAACTCGGGAATACCCAGATCGTGATGCTCAGCTCCAAGCATCGAGGAGTGCATGGTCTGAGCACGCCACTTCCCCCTTGCCCAGGATGCTGAGCTGTGGGGCCTCATCTAGCCAAGTCCCCCGGGAAACGTAGACAGGCCGTCCCTGCAGGAGCTGCCTTCTGGTTCCGCCATTCCCATGCTGGGTTGGAGGTGCGGGGAGCTCCGGGGCCCGGACAGACGGCAGTGCTCCAGATGCCACGCATCCCCTGCATCCGGGACTCTCGGGCTCCCCAGGCCTCGCTCCCCGGCTTCAGGGCAGCAGGCGCCCCTGTCCCAGCAGGCGGAGTCTCGCTCGCCCCAGCCGTACCTGGTGCTCGTCGTTCACGGCGGCCAGGTAGTTCAGCGTACTCTGCATCTCGTCGGTGGAGAAGCTCCTGCAGAAGAAGTCCTTTATCAAGCTGAAGAGGGAGGTCTGCACCGTCCGGATGTCATCCGTGGCGACGGGTTTCTCTTTGCAAGAGCTACGGCGGGAGAGAGAAACAAGTTACGGGGAGGCTGGCGTTGGAAGTCCAGCGCCAGGCATCTTTCCGCGGATGTTCTGGTTCACGTGAGCATGAGAGAAGAGGCTGGGATAGCTTTGCACGCACGTGGGCGTCAAGCAGCACGGGCCCCCGGCGCGTGTGAAGGCCACACGGCTCTTTCCCCCAGACAAGCTCAGTTTTCCCATTCTGCCCCGTCCCAGAAAGGTTTCTGAGATGCTGCAGAGCGGGACAAAACAGGCACCTGGGCCTGTCGTCCCTCTCCCAAATCCACTCCCCATGTTCCAAAGCAGGGGTGTTGAATGGTGCTGTCAGCAGAAGCGTTAATGTCGTTTCAGAGACGGGGTCCAGTGGGGGGCGGGGCCAAAGGCAAAAGGGGCGGGGCACAAATCGCCCCCTCCCCCACATCTCGCAGCTGAAAGCCCCCCGGCAAGTCGCTGGGCTTGGAAAGGCATTGTAGCCTCCGGAATGTGGGGAAAGGTGGGCAGAGGCGGGGACCGAGCCATTGCTGGCGGGCTGGGAAAGGAGAAGCAGGTGTGGCCCCAAGGGGAAGGAGGCCGGGCGGATGCATTTGGCCCGTGGGGCTCAGTTTCGGCACCCCTGCCCCAAAACCTCCCGCTTCATGGAGGCACGGCTCCAGAACGTGCCAGCAAACAGGCGATCCATTCCCCAGAAGCTGGAAGCAACACCACCGAGGGTCATCCGAGGTTGGCTTTCACCCGGTCCGTTGTGTCAGTGGCCACAATGCAGATGCTCGAGAGACAAAGCTGGCTGGGGGCGACCCGGCACTTCCGAAGCCGTTTTTACGGCGCGTCCCTTTCACGGGCAAGGAGGGGCTCCTGACTCACCCGTAATACGTCCTGATGGAATCCAGAATGTACTGGACGCCGTATTTCTTGCGAATCCTTTGCTTGTGGTCCTTAATCACGTTGGACAGGTACTGGATGTGACCTGCGAAGCCGGGAGGGCGAGTAAGGAGGAGGCAGCCCGTGCGGCCAGTGCTGCTTCCAAGCATTTCCAGCCTACAGGTTATGGCAGCCACCTGGCACCTCTTTGCCGCGCAGGCGAGCTCATCGCCACATGGGAGCGAAGGCCCCCAGGCGGAAGAAGCATTTGGGCCAATATGGAATGGGGGGCTTCTATAGCACCCACGCTGCTTTACTGATGCCCTCTAGGAACTGCAAGTCCCACCACGGGGGGGGGGCGGGGAAGGCAGAGCTGCATGGCCAGAGCCCCCGCTGGGCTCCGGGGATGCTCAGCCTTGGATGGGTTCCGCGCTCACCCAATCGGACTGCGAAGTCACTGTTGCTCCAGATGCGGAAGTCGAACAGCAGGTACTGATACAGCAGGTGCAGCAGGAGGCTGTGCCCTTCGGAGGCCACCTGCTCCATGAGGATCTGCGACGCCATCAGCACGTTCATGTCCATCGCCTGGCTGGGGACCTGCGGAGCAAAGAGCGTCGCTCTCCAGAGGAAGGACACGCACACGGACGCGTGCCCGGCGCTTCCCTCCTCACCGGACCCGCCCTCCTGGGACGCAGCTGCCGCCGAGGGGCCTCTTCTCCCCTCTCGCCTCTAATCCAAGATGCTGGCATCTTGTGGATCAGCGAAACACTCTGCAAATGCAGCTTCCCGGTTCTGGGACTGCAGCTGACCGGCTGTGCAGCAGAGTGGCTGGAACGCATGGCCAGGCAGCGGGAGGCCCGCGTCTGCATGAAAATCTGCGAGCAGCACGTTGGGCCAACTGCGGTTCTCCGCCTGTCGAGCGATCTGGCTCCCAGGGTGGGCTGTGGGAGCAGACGAGGCGAGGGCCGGAAAACAGCCTTGCAGCTCTTTTATGCTCAAAAAGCTTTATTGGTTTCAGGCTCCGTGTCGTGTCAGGAGAAGCGACCCCGACCGGAGAGCTTTGCATGAAGACGGGAGCGTGGACCAGGCGCTCAGGCAGCCCGAAACGTGGCACAGCCACGTGGGAGGGCCACAGAGCAGAAGCGTCCAGATTTGTCCCAGCAGGAGGACGAAGCTTCGAATGCACCGCGTCGGGCATTTTGCTTTAGCTGGAGAGGACGGAACAGGTTTGCAGGCGAGATCCCAGGGGGCCAGGGCACGGCGTGTACGTTCCTTGAGGCCGCCCGCTGGAGGCAAGCTCGGATGACGGGCTCCCCGGAGGACCTCGCTGCACACCCTCCAGAGGTGCTGGACGGCGAGTCCTGTGATCTGGAGGGCGGCAGGTCGGGGATGCCTGAGCGAAGCATGTCGGGGCCCCATCCCTTCTTCCCCCGGCCGAGGCGGGGATGAAGGGTGCGGCGGCGCCTACCTTCTGGAGCAGGGCGCCAATGATGGCGGGCCCCTGGCACTGGACCAGGCTCTCCTGATTGACGGGGTGCCCCCGGAGAAAGTTCTTGACCAAGAGCAGGAAGGCTGCCACCCCGTTCCTTTCCAGCCGGCTCTCTGTGGGGAGGAACAGCCGTTCTAAAGAGGGACCTTTCCCATGTTAGAGGAAAGAGTTAGGGTGAGCTGGAGAGCGAATGAGTCCCATTAGGGGATCCCGATCCCAATTAAACTTCCATACTGCCCAACTGCTCTCTGGGCAGTTTACAACAATCTATTAAAATGCAATCTAAAACACACATTATTAAAAAAAACCCATTAAATACATTCTAAATTTTACCACCTTAGTAAAAAATGGGGAAAAAGAAAAAGCTGCCATACAAGAGTTTAAAACACATTAAAAACACATACAACCCCAGTAACCTGAGCCACATAAAACCTGACTGAACCCTGTTTAAGCCGCTAACGAGGCTCTGGGAAATAAATTAAATGTGGGAGAGGAAAGGCTTGACCCGGCACTGAAGAGACAGCAAAGCTGGTGCCTGGCGGGCCTCAGTAGGGAGCTCGTTTCAGACCAAGGGGGCCGCCACTGGAAAGGCCGTGTGGAATCAAAGTGGAGGCGAATTCCAGCACCCCCCCCCCCCCGCCTGGCCCAGTCCCAAGAAGGGTGGAAAGCCCCACTCCTGGCTGTTAAGAGTGACAGTGGGAACGGCCGGGTCACCTGCGGATTGGCCCAGCGGGATGAGCATGCCCTGGGCATTCCGGGAGGAGGTCAGCTCCGGGCCAACCAAGTCGTGGGTCTCCGGCTGATCTTCGGACGCCTTCTTCTGGGAGGCCAGCTGATCCAGCAGGGGAAGGAGCACCCCCATCCCGCCGACACAGTTCACCACGTCCTGCGAGAGCCCAAGACAAGACAGAACAGAACAACCCCCCGTCAGAGCCCCGGCACGGCCTGCCGCAGACCATTGCCCCGGGGCGGACAAGCGGCGGTCCCCCGGCTGCTCGGGCTGGCAGCTCCTGGCATCCACCCAAGGAAGTGGGGAACGAGTCAGGTGGGGCCGAGCTAGGAGGCTCCTGGGTTTAGTCTGGTTAGGACGGACGTCCTGAGATGGACAAGACTCTTGTTTGTGCTGGCAGACGTCAAACCAGCACCATTTGCGACCCTGAAGGCAGACGCTGGCAGGAGGATACCTTCTCGTGCACCTGCATTCGGAAAATGCGCACGTTCAAAAATCCAACAAGCCACGTGCAATTTTGAAATGGAGCAATTTCACCAGTTGGTCTAGCGCAAAAGTTGTACAACTTTGGAAAATACGCACTGCCCTCCGTTCCCCTTTTTCCACATCTGCTTTGTGGTTTTCCCATTTCTTCTTCCCGGTCACAAAGAAGTGCAGTGAGAGAGATGAGAAGAACATCAGGCGGATGCTCAGAGAATCCGGGTGACCTGACGTGGGAGGTGCTGAGAAGTCTGGCCCGCGGCCAATTTTTGTAGCACTCTCTGACCGCTGCTGCATTTCCAACATTCGGTACTGGCCTTTTTATCGGTCACTCGTAGCCACTTTGCTCATGGGTCATCCTGCTAAACACTCTGATATCTAAGGGAGATGTTTCCTAGACTTAAGCTTCTAGTCCTCACTACAAGGAAAGTTCCCCTCAAAGGCTGAACCTCCCGATTTGCTGCCTTCAGTAGCACATCGTTAGCCTAGAGCTGTGCTAAGTGGGGACCCTCAATTAACCTTTCCCAGCCTTGGGTCTCCAGATGTGGTGGAACTGAGACTCCTGGGGATGCCGGCCAAGGATGATGGAAAGTGCAGTCCCAGATCTTGGGAGCCAGACTGGGAAAGGCTGCCCTGGAGCAAGAGAACGTCTGCACTGCACTGGGAGAATCGCCCCAAACCGAGGCCCTGCGCAGGCGCAGCACCCACACGCGTGACGCACGGAGGCCGGACACCCGCGGAGACGCCGACAGCTTTACCTTGATGTCCCAGTTCACCCGTTTGTGCCCCGTCAGCCTCCCATCAAAGAAGTGGTTGGAAGAAAGGTCCAAACAGATGTTGTTTTTGCAGGCCTGGAAGTCCACGAGGGAGAGAGATATGAAGAGGAACGAGATGTAATACTAGTAATACAATACTGTTAATGTAATAATAATGTAATGTACTATGTAATAATGTAATTCTAAAAAGCAGAGACATCACCCTGCCGACAAAAGTGCGTATAGCCAAGGCGATGGTTTTCCCAGTTGCAATGCATGGCTGTGAAAGCTGGACCATAAGGAAGGCTGAGCGCCAAAGGATTGAGGCCTTTGAATTGTGGTGCTGGCGGGGACTCTGCGAGTCCCTTGGACCGCAAGGCGATCAAACCGGTCAGTCCTAGAGGAGATCAACCCTGGCTGCTCTTTAGAAGGCCAGATACGGAAGATGAAGCTCAGATACTTTGGCCACCTAATGAGAAGGAAGGACTCCCTGGAGAAGAGCCTGATGCTGGGAACGATTGACGGCAAAAGGAGAAGGGGACAGCAGAGGATGAGGTGGCTGGATGGAGTCGCTGAAGCAGTTGGCGTGAGCTTGAGTGGACTCCGGGGAATGGTGGAGGACATGAGAGCCTGGAGGAATGTTGTCCATGGGGTTGCGACGGGTCGGACGACTTTGCAACTAACAACAATGTAATGTAATACAAATACATATTTGCCCTCCCGCCCCTTGAGATCGGCGGCAGAGGCCCTTCTCTGGGAGCCCTCCGTGAAGGATATTAGGAGGGTGAGCACCCGGAGGGCCTTCTCTGCGGTGGTGCCCCACTTATGGAATGCGCTCCCCAGAGAGGTCCGCCTGGCGCCATCGTTCTTTGTTTTGCAGTGCCAGGCTAAGACCTTTCTATTTCAACAATATTTTAATAACTGTTAATATTATTTATTGGTTTTAATTTCTACAGCCAGGGAGAATCCGGATTTTATATGTATTACTTATATGCTGTTTATTTATTGTGTTGAAGCCGTCCCGAGGCTTCTGTGAATGGGATGGCCTACAAAAACTCCAAATGAATAAATGAATGTCTGGAAATGGACTTTCACAGCCATGCCTGGCATTTCCTGGAGAACGGGGAGGGGCCGTGAGAAACCGACCGTTGGCAAGTCTTACCTGCGGGGTGTAGTACAGAAGCAGTTTATTGCTGAGCTCTAGGAAATCCCCTTCAGGCTTGAACGGCGATGCGACATTTGGTCCTGCAGTAACAGAAGAAGCGGGGCTGCTCTCAGGAGCACCAGGAACCAGCAGGACGTGGGACCTTCGCACTCCGTGGAGGGCTAAGTGGGGGTGTCCCCACCGTGACCGCTGGCTGGGGGGACTAGTGGCTGCACGGCCTGACGGACCTGATTCTGCCTGCTCTTGGAGGCTAAGCAGGGCCGGGCCTGGTCGAAATCGGGATGGGTGACTTGCGATGTCGTGGACCCCCAGAGAGCTTTGGTTACGGGTGGTAGAGAAACGGAATAGAAGGTGACCATGTGCTTGGGGGCAGGGCCTGGCCCATGGGGAGCTGACCATGTGCCCCATAGCGACCCACAGGGTGTGGTTTCCAGGGCTGGAAGGCAGGAGATGTGGAACCCCAAACACAGCCGGGGTTGGGGGCCCCTCATGCGGCGTTTCTCGGGGCCCAGTGGCGCAGAGCGGATGAGCTTCCGTTCTCATCCAAAGCGGAAAACGAGCCGCTGTGATTCCTGGCAGGAGCAGGTTGGACTGGGAGCCCGGAGGTCCAGCTCGGAGCTCGCCAGGGGACTCGGGGCCCACACTGCTCTCAGCCCAGCCTACTCTGAAGGGTCGGTGTGAGGACAAGACCGAGTGCTCTGGAAGCCGCCTCGAGAAATCCACCAATAAGTAAGCAGACATGCTGAGCATGCAGCCCAGGCCATGGGCAACTGAAACCCACGCCCTCCCCATCCGCCACACACGCCGTCACTCGTGGATGTGTGGGGTGCAGGCGGAGGAAACAAAAGGACCGGGAACGAACGTGCTTCTCCCGCCCCATCCAGGTCCAGCAGGCAAAACCCTCTGTGCTTGCAGAGCCGGGTTCCACCACCTGCCCAGACACCACGGCCGAGCTCGGAGGCCTACTGGCCTGCTGGCCGGGGCCTGCCACCTCCGGGGGTCGAGCGGTGCGACCAGGAGGGGTTTCTCAGGATGCAGAATACCGGGGGAGCCTTCCCTCGGCTGGGGCACCCTCCCGGTGCGCTGGGCCCAAGGACCAGCTGCGCAGCGCATCAAGCCGGGAAAGGCTGAGCGCCAGTGCCAGCAGCCCAGCTCCGTTGTCCTCCGTTTGCCCGAAGACGGGAAGGGCAGCTCAGCCGGGGTCCGATGGGCCTCGGGCCGCGAGAGGCTCCCGGCGTGGCCCCCCGGACTTTTGCCGCACGTGGACGTGACCTTCCCCGAGATCTTGCTCCCCCTGGTGTGTCCACCACTGCTTCCTTCCTGCGGCACGAGCCCGGCACCCGGACTCTTTCGGACCCCCCTGCACGCACCTGAGGCGAAGAGGGCCTTCACTTGCGCGGGCTGGAGGGCTTCGCAGAAGATGGCGACGGGGCCCAGGTGCCCCTCGAGGGAGGTGGGCACCCCCCACTCGGTGTCCTGGCTCCCGGCGGCTGTGGTGGCGACGGCGCTTTCCCTGGGGGGCTGCGGGGGGACGGGGGTCCAGGCGGGGGCGGCCAGAGAGGCCGGGAAGGACTGCGAGCGGCTGAGGGGCGGGTGGGAGGGGAAGCCCAGGTCCGGGGAGTGCGGCGGCGAGAGCGGGCCGGTGGATGTGGTCGTCGTGCGGTGCCCCGCGGAGCCGATGCAGCAAGAGGTGAACGACTAGGAGAGAAGACAGAGGCCGTGAGCATGGGAAGGCCGCGTGGCCCTCCCGGGGGCACGTGCCGGGGAGGCCGGAATGCCGGGGGCCGCCACCAACCGGGCCCTGTTGCAAAATGGTGGATCAGGGACGGGAACCTGTGAAGCAGGCTTCCCCCAGGGAGCGCCCTCTGGCTGGGCGGGAGTGCAAGTCCCATCATGCCCAGCAAACCCCACCATCGGCCATCCTCCCACTGGTTGTGGCCCACCCTCCTGGCAGGGCTGCCCTCCCAGCTAGCTGTTTCCCCCCTGAATGCCTCGTTTGAATCTTCCTATGCACTCCAGGGCACTCTGTCCATGCCTCGGGAGCCACTGCCAACTGCCACAGCAGACCAGAGCACGACAGAACAGCTCTGCTGCAACAAAGACCCCCCAAATATCCCCCCCCCCGTTTTTAAACCATATTTGCAACAAACAAGGTTTATCTTCCTTGCTGAGAGAGAAGGCCTAAAACCTGCTGTTAGGGAGGGAGGATCACACCCTTCTCAGTTTCCTTAAGACAAGTAGTGAGTAGACCTACTGAAGAGTAGGAACTCCTTAGGCCAGCCACCCGAGCCTGATGCCCGCCGGAGGTTTTGGGGTTCCACTCCTATCAGGCTTCCCCACCGGTCAGGCGAAGCTGGGGTGCGCGTGTGTCCTAGCTTACGGGGAACAGTCCTCTGCCTGAAGGGTGGCCCTCTGTGTGAATGGCTGTGCGGCTAAAGACTGGCTTGAAGGCAAAGAACCAGCAGAAGGGAGAGAGGCAGGGCCCGGGCGCTCGTCACGGCTCCTTCGTTTTCGTTCGCAACCTTTCTTCCTACGTGCGCATCTTTGTGCGTTACTTTGCACAGCAAAAGCGCAGGTGCCTCCGTGGTCCCCCCCCTCCTGCTCCTGGGGCGAATTGGCAGCTGCGGTCCAACCACGGAGGGAGCACCCATGGCAGGGAAAGCAGCTGCGGGGTCTCCGGATGCCCGAAAGGACGTTTATGTCGATGGCGCTTTCCAGAATGGACTTCCCTACTTCCGTGGCCCCTTCTCCTCCTCCCGCCTTCCTCTGCACCTGCAGAGACTCGCTCTGTCGTGGGCCGCCTGCGGCTTCCCGGATCCCACCCCAGCCCGCCGACGGCCTGGTTGCTCGGCTGCAGCCTGGGGACAGGTGCGCCTGTTACCTCGCTGAGTGAGGGGAAGCGCAACTGGACCCCCTTCCGGAGCTGCCCGTCCACGAAGACGTTCACCAGGTTCTGGCCGAAGGGCCGGCGGCCCGCGACGTGGACGATGTCGACGCAGTGCTGGAAAGAAGCAGAAGGACCAAGATGGCGACCGTGCAGGGACTGGCTGGCGCAGTGGTGGTGAGCCTGTGGCACGCCTGCCGCGTCGGGCATGCAGAGCCCCCCGTCGGCACGCGAGGCCTGTCGCCCCAGCAGCCGAGCGTCGGGTAACAGCGCTCACAGGGGCCCTGCGCACGCTCGGAAAGGAGCAGTGGGGCCAGGCGATGACTTCACAAGCCACAATTCATGAGCCACAACTCATCCGAGCTTTTGCATGGCCGGTCAGTGCGCTCCCAAAGATATATATATATTTGCTTGGACTGGCTGTGAGCGTTTTTTTCGAAATGAAAACCTCGGTTTTCAGGTTTTATTGCAGTGTTGGCGCTTTGCAATAAATGCGTGGGTTTTGGGTTGCAGTTTGGGCACTCGGGCTCTGAAAGGCTCACCCTCACTGGCCTAGCAGTCCTTTCTCTCCAGTGTGGCCCTCCCTGATCCGGGGTCTCCAGCAGGGCTCGGATGACAGCTCTTGCTCCCCTGAGCTTGCTCAGCTGGAGAAGGCTGCCACAACGTCCTGCACGGCAGGCCGGGAAACCCCCAGGCTCTGGCCCGGCCCGGCTGGCACTCACCCAGGCGGCATCGTTGAAGGGAAACTCCGGCAGCGCGACGGTCATGTACTCCTTTTTGGTGCAGACGGCGACGACCAGGACTCCGTCGGCGGTGAAGAAGGCCTCGAAGCCCGTGCCGCTGGCCGTGAAGAAGCTGGTTGGGGAGGAACGGAGACAGGAGGTGGCTGGGCCGGTACCGGAGGCCCGAGGGCAGGGAGAGGGTCTCCTTCGCCCGAGGACCCCCACGGAGCCTGCCCCACACGCTGCCCTCAGGCCTCTCGCCCCCACTTCCCTCGCCAGCAACCTGACAAGGCGGGTTCCTGGGGGGAGCCCGCCTTGGCAACGCTTCCTCATCAGCTGGATGCTCAGAACCTCTGGCCACGAGAAGAAAGACACCCCCCCCCC